AGTCCTGTACCAATTTGCAGACCCCCGTAGAGATGGAGGGCTTGGTGAGCCATGGGCGCGGGAATCGATCCCATATGTATTGCAGGCCACGAATCTTCCACATATGATGGATCCCGATAGCCGGTTGGTCGCGAGACTATGTAGCGTGTCTCCAGGTGAAGTATAGGGCTAAATCGCTGACCGATTGCTTCCGTGAGACACAGGTAGATCCATGAGATGGACTACATGTTTCTGCTGCAACATACTTTCTGTATTTACGAGGCGCATTCACGCATCGTGTGTGGGTGCGTTCGAGTTTATGCGAATTGTATTCTACGAGTCAATTCGGGCAAAAACCTGCATTCAAGTGGCAGGGTAGTATGTGGGAGGCGGTTAGGAGTCGCCTCCAACAAATAAGCTCTATGTCCACTTTGGGAGAGCCTCGCAAGCTACCCATGAGTACACCCAGCCCTTATGTTTAGAGCCCAGCAAGCTATAAGCGAGTATCAAAAAGCTAAAAACAGTAAACGAAACGAGTCTCATTCCCCGGACCCCGAAAAGCCCCCAATTCGGCAACGTTGAGTAGGACGAGCACGGAGAGCCTGCTCAAATCTCAGGGCCAATGGAAGCTGCTTATATAGCAAAGAACTAAGGTGACTATCTGTACTTACAATGCACGAACACTTGCATTCGAGTCCTAGGTAGAAGACTTGCTCATGCAAGCAAGAAGGATAAGGTACGACGTCATCGGCCTGGCCGAGACGAGACGACGCCACCCATTCAACGCCGTCTATGACACCGCAGAAGAACTGTTCTTCGGAACATGCTACAGTAGAGGAGTCGGCGGTGTCGCGTTCTCGGGGTTTATCCATGAACATCGCTTCATTTGAACAATTTACAACCCGAATCGGAATTTACGATTAAAAAGATGTGGATCAATACCGGGTTTGACAATCTTCATCGTTTAGCGCCGACATCAAACTATGACGAAGAAGTCGAAGCGTTCTACACGGACTTGGAGAAGTTCTACAGAGAAGACCATACATTCTTCGAGGTCATCATTGGAGATTTCAACGCCAAGATTGGACCAAGAACATCTGAAGAACGTCACATTGGGACCCACGGATTAGAATGGAACGAATAGGGTGAGCGGCTCCCTGAGTTTATCATAACGACCAAGACCATCCATGTTAACTCGCAATTCCAGAAGCCCCACGCTCAGCGCTGGGAGTGGGATTCTGCCATTGGAGAGTACCATAACGAAATAGACCACATCATAGCAAACAGGTTTTGCTTAACCGATGTCGCTGTTGTTCCAAAATTCTACACGGGATCCGACCATCGCCTCCTCCGTACAAGATTCCATTTCTTGTGGAAAGGAGAAAAAGCAGCTGAATTCAAAAACCAAAGTCCAGAACCACCATAAACTGGGACTTATACAATTCGTTAGCGGCCTGCTGGGATGATGTCGTTGTCGATAACATCGATGAAGAATATGATCAGCTAATTCAACATCTCCACGCCAGCGCTATGAAAACTTAGAGCTCGAAAGTCACCAAGAGACGCCTGTCTCCAGAAACACTCGAGCTGATACGTTAGCCTGGAATCGCACGAGCTGCAGGCAACCGTGAACTAATGTCCGAACTTGCAAAACAATGCAGACAGGCGATAAGAGAAGACCTTAAAGAGAGAAAAGCAGCAGTCATGGTCAAAGCTACAGAGACTGAGAAAAGCATTCGAAAAACCCACCGAAGCTTCACCACTTGTAAAACCAAGGTGGTTGCACTCCGACTTCCAGACCAAAGAGTGACAGCTTCCAGGAAGGCAAAGGAGAAAAGCATTCACGAATACTACTCGGATCTCTTCGATAACCATGTCCGCCTTCCTCATATGAAATAAAGGACGATGGATATGTTGTACCACCCGTTCTCCCTCTCGAAATCCGACATGCCATCTCGTCAGTGAAAAATCGAACAGCACCAGGTCCGGACAGGATAAGACCAGAACACCCAAAGAACCTTCCGCCAGTCGTCGTGAACACACTGGCTCGGCTCTTCACACATTACCTGTCTGAATGCAAGGTCTCTACTCAGTTGATGACCAGCAAGACCGTGTTATTGTTCAAAAAGGGTGACCTACACGATATCGCCAACTATCGCCTAATCTGCTTACTGTCTGTCGTCTACAAACTTTTCACTCGAGTCATCCTGAACAGGATTGACAGAACACTGGATGAAAGACAGCCATGTGAGGAAGCAGGGTTTCGAAAAGGATTTAGTACGATGGACTACAACCACACGATAACAAGGCTCATTGAAGTATCGCAAGAGTACAAAAGACCGCTGTGTCTCACTTCAATCAATTTACAGAAGGCCTTCGATTCAGTTGAGACACAAGCAGTGATGGAAGCTCTTGATAGTCAAGGAGTCCCTACTCAGTACATAAAGATTCTTTGTGATATGTACAAAAATTCCACAACGAAGATATCACCATTCTACAACGATACTAACATTGACGTCAAAAGAGGAGTTAGGCAAGGCGATATCATCTCGCTAAAATTATGTACCGCGACCCTCCAGAACGTCATGCGAACATTGGAATGGGATAATGTAGGAGTGAAAATGGATGGTTAGCAGATACACCACGTTCGCTTTGCTGATGACATCGTCCTTATAACACCAAACATTGGCCAATCGGAACATATCGTTGCCGACTTTGACAACGCCTGTGGAAAGACTGGTCTTCGACTAAATCTCACAAATACGATGTTCAAGTGGAACCGGTCGATTTCGTATGGCCCATTCACGCTCAACGGAACGAAAATCTCTGAATGCTTCAGTCTATCTAGGTCGTGAAATCAATATGTTGAACGACTTGGCTCCTGAGCCAAGCGGAGCAAACGAACGGCTTGGAGACCTTCCAAGAGCATCGGGGATGTAGTGAACAGGACAAAGAATACGCGGCTCCGTGCTCACCTTTTCGACTCAACGGTACTCCCTGCGTTAGAAACCTGGTCGCTGCGTAAACAGAATGAAAAATCCCTCAGCGTTATTGAACGTGCAGTGAAAGGACGATGTTAGGAGTATCCTGTTCCACACAAGTAAGGGAAGTGATCCGAAGCTCCGACTTGCGTCAACGATCGAAAATCAAAGATGCAGTTCTGTACCCCAAACATTCGAAGATAAGGTGGGCCGGACACGTATTGCGTATGAATGGCAACCGATGGACAAGAGCCGTTAGTGACTGGATTCTTCGGGATGTTAAACGCAATGTTGGAAGACCACCGACTCGATGGTCAGAATTCTTCACGAAAAGACTAGAAGAAAAATATGATGCTCGACGATTCCCTAGAGCGAGCAGAACCCACTGGGCTTCTCTTGCATGCGACAAGGAAAATGGAATATTTACTGGCGCCCGCTCGAGCCACTCGACAATCAACGGGACCACTGGTGATGCTGGTGATGTACTACAGAGCGCCTCCGAGCACAGTGCTACACGCAACCGTGCAGGTCTTACAACAAATGAAACAAATTAAATAAGCTTACAATCAGCGGTGTTTGTTTAAAGTTGAAAGCTCAAATATTTTTAACTGTGTATAAATGGAAAACTTGCACATGGTGCATAAAAACTTACACAAAACTTTTTGACATGTGAGTATTGATTTCAAAGTCACGAATGTTAATTAAAGAAATAACCTTACAGTTCGCACTTGCCACTAAAAGTACGATCCTACGACGAGAGAAAGTCACTCATGAAGAATATGGAGCTGATAGAAAGAGAAATTCCATAAGAATTTTAGTAAAGAACGAAACTATTTTTCCTTCTTGTAAACTGACTGTAACACTTACACACCATGTCTACAGTATACATATTGACCTTTCTATGATGAGCTCAAGAGATAAGAATAACCCCAAATTCGATACTGCCATCGTCCCCAACTGTTTGGTCAACTTACCAAGAATACTCGGTAACTTATTCGTGAACACCATACACTGCTGCATATCAGGAAATCATGGGGCTCAATCTACAGAACAAACCAGGTTTTAATGACTTAGCAGTCTCTCAGGGGAATAGGAAATACCGAATTTGTTTGCGGTCTTAATAGAGCGTTAATAGAATTGAATACACAGAAAGCACAGAAACAGTGCATGCAAACATGAAGACAAGCCGCTTTAGACATCACTTTCATCATAGTATCATAACATTGTTCCTGGGTAGTACGATAGAATCATAAATTATGTTTGTTCTTGGGTAGCACGATATGATCATGAATTATGTTCAGAAAGCATGACTCGGAAGGAAATAAATCAGCAGAAAATAGTCTTTCAAGCTAGAGAAAGGATGGAAGAAAAACAGAAGTGTGTACATACAAACAGATTCATTAGCACGGGAAGCAAGAACTTCTACTTGAAGTCATCAGGACTGCGGGAGTCCATGGCTTCCGTATTTAAGAGAGCTGCACAATGAGTGGATAAGAACTATCAAGAAGAATAACTGTGACGAGAAACGTCGCAAGATCGTCGATTTTAACAATTCATAAAACTCTAATAGTGTAGTAAACAGATTAATACTTGTTATGTAAACCATATTTAGAATAAGAACTAATGTGATCTCAAACCTTTTCAATCTCATCAACTTTGGATTGCTTTTTGCTAATCGTATTAAGGGCACCAGTTCTTTTTGCTTCGTACAATTTCGTACCTGCAGCTTCTTCAATCATTCCAAGAATCTGAACAATTAGATTGATAAAACTAAAAAGCTCTCTCGGCGAAGATCAATCCCTTAGGGATGCGCATGCATTCGACTTCATTAAGTATCGTCGGAGACAATTGAATGTATATCTGGCCTTTACAATGACTCGTGGTGATCTACCGATGTATCGAGCCAGTGCATGTATCCTCCCAGACAAGTCTGGTACCAATTCGCCGATCCCGGAGGAATGGAAGACTTGGTGGGCCAAGGACGCGGGGACAGATCCCACTTGTCTGTTGAGGGCGTCTCCGACCACTGGGCCACACGCGTCATTTAGACTCATAAAGGCGAAAATCTAGAAGTCTAAAAAATACCTCATGAGGTTTCATGTTAAGGACTTTGGTGATGCGTCCTTGCATGATGAGAAAATGAGGATTATTTACATTGAGACCAACGCTGCGGAAAAAATCAGATACCTTAAAAAATGGTGCGGATGTACGCCTCCATTAAACCAATAAAAAAGCATAACAATCAGAAATTTTTATAACACAACAGAACATAAGAATAAGGAAAGCATAACAAAAAAAATTAAAGAGCCGTAGAAACGCACCTTTGCATTCGTTGTTGTAGAACCATTAATGCTATACGTATTTCGACCATTAACAACTATCTAAATCAGGAAAAATCCAACCCCAACCACGTTCGAAAAGCAACGTCTAACGGACCTGTCGTTTTATAGTTATTTCGTCACAGTTATGGTATCCAATAGGACCATGCTTCTTGTCCTTGTTGTCAAAAGTAATCGTCACAGTTGCTTTAGTAATACCGGCTTGTCCTTGTTTGTATACTAAGTCAGTGAGTTGGCCTAAACTAACGCAGTTTTTTCCTTAGGGCTAAATCATATTAGCTGCTTATCGAACAATACGTGATATCAAGAGCAACAATCTAACGATATTTACCTTGACGATAGATGAACATTCTTAACAAAAAACATCGAAGACATACCTGCCCGAATATGCGTCAAATTCGTAATCCCAAGTACAAAGCAGATTGAGTCCAGTATATTCGACTTTCCAGTCCCATTCAGTCCTAGGCGAAAAAATTGATTTTTGATGGCGTCGAAAAACAAATCGAAAGTGTTAGAATCAACCATATTATTGCATTTGAAATTACATCTAACCGAAACAACTTTGCTTGTGACTTCAGGTTAATCCGTTTCCTGAAAAGAAACTTCGAATCTTTTTGATTCGTTTCCTCTTAATTCCCTATGGGAACTACAGCACGCTACAGCACACTACAGCATTACTTCATTTCCTTTCCTCCTCCGAGCCAAACCATACTTTTAGATGTCATTTTAAATCCATACAACGTTGTTGCCTAAAACACCAAGTCGTCTCGGAATTCATAAAATGAAAAGGACTACACGAAGTATGCGGACCACCAGAAGACAGTCACCGAGTACTGGACATCGAATTGCGAATACTACGCACCTGTCTGCGAAGCAAACAAAACCAGATGTTCGCCAAGTGGAAGTGCGAGAAAAAGGAAAACCATTGTGCTCAGTATTTGGAGGACCGCTTCTGGAGGAGAATAGTGGGCGGGTCAGTGTTGATTTGCAATTCTATTAGGTCTAATGCTAAAGTAGCTTTGCGGAAAAAAATCGAAGATCTTTTGAGTAAGCTGCATAACACAGCTTCAATAGCGCACAAAAACATCGCTAAGGAACATCAAACAAATCACGATAGGACAGGTAATGTACAAGAAAATTCAACGCTAACCGTGTTAGGAGGCATGACTCTCCTGATGTGACGCGCTCGTTGTTAGAATTGGGGCCAAGTTTCTCACCATCTGAACCCATTTCTAAGATAACCTTGCGTAGGGTCGCATGTGGTTTACATGAACTTCAAGATAGACTCCGCAAAAAAGCTAGAGATGAAGCGTTAAATAGGTGCGAACAACAACAAGTGGGGGGCCTACCAACAGCACCATTTCCTAACCCGTTCTTTAGACAACAAGAGCCCAATAATGAAGTTGCCGTTAAATTTCGGATATTTACGAATGAAACCTTCAAAGTCCTTATTCACTAACGCGCCAAGAGATACTGCTTCAACCTCACTGAAATACAAAAACGTGGTGTGCGGGAGGTATGAGAGCTGATAAAGTTCAAAAACATAAGACTATCCGTTGGTGATAAGGGTGGAGAGTTTGTCGTAATTCCCCATCAGTTAGATGATGAGATAACGAAGAAGCATCTTGAAGATGCAAAACTTTATCGCCCATCATCTGAGGAGTTTAAAAGTAAGTGCCGAAAATTGAACCACGAATGGGCCAAAATGGCAAGGGCTGCTGGTTTAAAACCATCAGTTATCCCTCAACTAAAAGTTTACTTACCAACACGTCCCGTCTTGTATTTATTTATCAAAACCCATAAGTTAGTATCCAACGACGATCTCCTGTCTACCGATTCATCGTTATTTAAGGTCAGACCTATCGTTAGCTGTGTAGACGGGCCAACGGATAGGATAACATGGTTTTTAACCTAAACATCTAACTAGTTGTTGAAACACATTCCAACCTAACCTACGAATACCCGGATGTTTCTGGATCGTTTACGTACTACGCAGCCCAGAAGCGCGTACGTGATGGAGTCCTTCGACGTTACCGCCCTCTAAACACACGTGCCGAATGACTCCGCAGTGCAAGCTATATTCGAACTCCTTGTACAACACGAAGGAGCAATAAACATGTATGGCTTCTCGATTCAGCAGTTGATGACACTGTGCCTAAATTTCTCAATCTACAGATGGTCCGAGAGGTATTATGCACAAATGAGAGGACTGGCGATGGGACAACAACTGACACCAAGCCTTGCTATTGTATTCATATCCAAGGTGGAAGCACCAGTAATCGATCTGGGACCGTTGCTCTACTGCAGATATATAGATGACTGCTTGATCATTTGTTCAAAACAAGAGGAAATTGACAAATGTTTCGAGTTGTTGGACGAACAGTCAGAGTATAGAGTTCACCCAAGAGAAACCAAAAGAAAACTGGCTTCCATTTCTGGACGTGCAAATTAACCTATCAGAAAACGGTTACATAACGAAATGGTATCGAAAGCCAAGTAGTAAAAACAATTAGGCTCGTTACTTCTCCTGTCACCCCTTTCACACGAAAAGGGCGCTTGTGAGAAACATGTTTCGAACAGCTACCAGCGCGTGCACATAAAGGGAGCAGATAGAGGAGTCCCGGAACTTGGCGGGGCAAATAGCCATTTTTAATGGCTACGAAACTGTGGCTCGGGATAGGTGTAGACGAAACCACAGGACCTCCAACGATAACTCTAGCGACAACAAGGTCCCGTTTATACTGCCCTTCATTTAAAATAAAGTAAGCGCAGCTATAAAACGCTGTTTAAGAAGAGCCAGTCTAGAGAATTCGGTAACGATAAATGAAATGCCACAGAGTAATCTAAGACGCCAGCTTGTTCGTAACCGCTTATACGACCGTCTATGTGCAGCGCAAAATTGCATAATTTGTCCCAATGGCAGAGATGGTGACTGCATGAGTTCGGGTACATTCTATCATATCTCTTGTAAAACGTGCGGGGACAAATATGTTGGCGAAACGGGTAGGCCACTCTGCCTTTGTATAAAAGAACACCTAATCGGCAAACGTAAACCAAATACTCCACTAGGCACGCATAGGACGCAGAAACACAACGGAGAAGATTTTGAAGTAGGGATTATGATCCTCAAGCATGAGTCGAGAGCACAAGCGCGCAAAACTCTCGAGGCATTCTGGATTAATTACAAGAATCGGAAAATGAACGGCAGGGAGGACTGTCTCATTATCACGCGTAATAAAAGGATAAACCTCTCGACGCTGATCAAACCTTGAGGGAGGCGCCATGCATTCGACTTCATCAAGCATCGTTCGATGTGACTGGATGCACATCTGGCCTTTACAATGATTCCCGGTAGCCTACCGTTGAATCGAGCCAGCGCAGTTATCCTCCCAGACAAGTCCGGTACCATTTTGCCGACCCCAGAGGGACGAAGGGGCTTGGTGAGCCATGGGGGCGGGTACCGATTCCACGTGGTTGTCGTAGTGGCGCCTCCAATCATTGCGCCACACGCGCCCGTTTAACGCGTGATATTGGGCATTATCTAAGCCTGTTATTCTGATCAGATGGGCACATTACGATTCCATGTGAACTCTGGGCGGTTGGTCTCCACATGACATATTTAGTGGAAGACTCATAGAAAGCGGTGAGTGTGCAAAGACTCTGTGCTCAATGTGATTGAAATTTTGGTTTGGTTTTAGAGGTGTTTGGCCTAGAGGTGTGATTGCAGTCAACTTGACCTTTCCAGGCTCTGAGGAAGGCGAAATCCACCGAAACGTCAGCCTGTGCGTAAATAAGGAAATAAAATAACTCCTCGTGTTTGCTAAACAGAAGTAGAAAGAACCATCCAACGTTATTAAGCCTATACTTGTTCTTGGAGCACATGTTCCTTTCAGAACAAAACAAAAAAGATGGAGTTCTTGGGTGAAATCTTTGCAGACGTGGCAGCAACCCATAGAGTGGTTGTGCAAAAATTGGGTCAAATTGTCAACCAAAATGCAGTTTAATACTGGGCTACAAAATGACTTACTTAGTTGGAGAAAAACATGAAAAAGATCTTTTAGCGTCATACTGGTAGGATGGCCCCTAAGCCACTTTTTACTAGGATACACATCGTCATAACTTATTTTACCTTTTTAAACAGAATGTATACACAGTCCATTCAATACCACATGTCCTAGAACACCTTATACGTCTTCACGCAGTGTACGAACATCAGCATAAATTTTAACCAGGATGGTGCGTTGTGCATGAGGAATTCTGTGAGTACAGCTGCTTAACGCAGACGACGGACATATGGAAACCACTGGAATTCTTATGTATGCTCTTTCTCAAGAAGTCATACGACTGCAATCCACCTCATGGCTTTTCTTCCCGACAGCAGCAGACAGTGTGAAACATACGAAACATACAAAGATTCCATCCAGCTTTCGTTGTATGAATTGGTACACATCCATAAGATATCTGCCGAAAGCTATAAGAACTCAGCTGTTTTAGAAAATGAGGCTCCACTATTGTGTGGGTGTTCCGTAGAACGTTTTAAGTGATTGAGATATCATATACTGTATATCATCTAAATTGGGTGGATGTCACTAAAATGTCTAGTCCTAAGGAAAAGTCCGGACACGATTTTATCAGACAGCTTCCTGAGCTCTCTAGGAATGGTTTGCTCTACATCTATTCATAGCTTTCCCATTCCCAGGATTTTAGTTTGTCCACAAACCTATTTTTCCATAATCCGATGAACTCCTCTCAACAACCTCAGTATTTATAATTAGGCAGTGATGAAGATCATAGCGAAATAGCGTCACCTTTCTGCACCGTTCCCACAATAAGGAGGAGTTACATTCCTCAGGTTTAGTTGTGATAGCCACAGACTAGAGTCTTGTAGGGCGAGTTTTCTCCGTAAGAACTCATCGCGTGGAATTTTGTGTGACATAATATTTCCCCAACATAAACCGTCGCTCATAATTAAAAATAAACTTAGGCAATTGGGCACACAAAACCGTATAAATAACTATATAGCCGTATAAATTACTAATGATACACAGACGAATTAAGAGGCGCATGTGGCGCAGTGGTCGGAAGCATCTCAGGGATTGATCAACGCCGAGAGCTTTATCCTTAATTTATTTTTTATACAGAAGAATTCTAAGTACGCGATTAACCCCTCGGAAAAATAATGACCTCGAATGATTTCCTCACTCTTCGCATCCTCTCTTCCTACCTTATTTGTTTGTCCTTGGAATAAACAGCATTCTGATATATACAAGCGATGAAATGTGCTCCAAGGATAAGTATAAAAAACATCTGATGAACGAAGTGAACAAAAACATCTGATAAAGGAAAATGAGAGGACGTACGATGAACAAACCAGTAATAGCGTTGAACTGTGTGTCAAATCCGTCAATCACCTGTAATTTCGAGTAGGACTTGAAGCCATCGATTTCCAAGCGCTTGATATACATACCCTAAAACAGCTGGCATTCCACAAAACATTTATGAGCCAAATTACTAAAGAGTATCATCAACGACGAAGACTAAGACTTCGAAACGTTAGCTGAACAAGGCAACTTTGTCAACCTCGTGTAAGCTCAACGATTAAGTTGATTACAAAACAGCATTATCAACGAATAAAGCAGAAAAAGAAATATGGCGGAGCAAAGTCGGCGTCGAGTCATTGCAGTTCAAACGGAGCGATTTCGCGGTTCTTTTCCATCGCGCCGCGAAATCCGAAACTCAGGCACGGTTTCGTGCCAACGTCCGGTCGCGTCGTCAGTACATCTTCCATTTGTTTTCATTTTATTTTATATTCTATCTATTTATTCTCATAGTTAGCGAAGTAATAGAAATGACCAAGTGTTTTTAAAGGAACTGACACCAATCTCTGTGCACACAATGTCTCAACCCTTTCGTGATAGTACGAACAAGACGCCGGTCAGCACTTTGAGAGACTTGGCACTGCGAACGAACTCCGCTGGCAGGAATCAGAAATTTTCTTCACAAACTGCTTCTTCAAGCCAATCTCTGTTTTGTGTGAACGGCACCTCGAAGGTGGGTCACGTGTGTGGAATTTGTATTCCACATTTTTACATCTGTTCACCATTTCGCATTCTTTTCAAGCCACTTAGAAATAGATGATCATCTTCTGAATCTTGAACAATATTGACATTAAGAACAACTGATAGACAATGTGAACCATCCACTAAGCTTACATAAAGAAAGAGTCGTAAGTGGTTGAGCACTATCGGGTTAGATGCAACACAGCCCTCTCAGTTCACTTCCATGTACCAACTTTCATGAAAGTATTTAAAGTATATCCCATTCACCCGTCTTCTAGGCAATATCTCTCGATGTTAAACAGACCTCTCAGGTACACCACGATCCTATGGGCTTCCCACTTTCTATAATCATATAAGACAAGGTGTTGATAAACTAATGGGAGGTGCTTCAGATCTTAACCGCTTTATTTACTGCCTACTATTTTCAATGGCAGGGTATAATGCGAAATATAAGTTTAACGATGCTGAGATATTTGCAAAACTCCGGACCGCAGGTGTCTGCGGTGGGTGACGAACATGCTCTTGCCCTTTTCGGGGAGTAACGCGCTCACCACCACCGCAGGCACCTGCGTTACGGAGTTTTGGAAATATCTCAGCACCGTTGAAGGTCCCTCAAATGTCCAGGTCCGTAACTGTTTGGCTTATGTGATGCACGGTTCATCCCCGAAAGAGTATTTAAGATTTCTTGAGAACGAACCATCTAGACAACAATTTATCTTCAATGATGATTTCGGATAGCTGTATTACTGATCTTATTGAAGTTTCTAAAGGCGTTCTCGATGCTCTTTTTTTAGCCCAACTTCCTTTTACCAACGTTCTTTAACGCACTGAATGTGGTACGTGCTTGACCCAAGAGCGTTCTGTATATTGTGGCAGTAGTATTTTAAAAGCTTGTAAGCTTTAAAACGTTCAATCTAGAAAGAGTTGGTATTACTATCTTCGAAATTTCGGCTTTCCTTTGCACAAAATACTTTTCTGTGCCGAAAGAAAAACATGGGATCCGACCTCTTGTAGAACTGCAGACTTGAAATGACTGATTGTGCAAAATCTTCGATTGATTATCGTGTAGTAAATTCTACTGTGTTACACTCCACACTGAAAAACTCGAAATCATGTCGAATGCGGAGACCTCGATTTCTGGAATTACAGTCAGAGCGATTCGGAGTCAGGGTCACAAGTCACATGGCGGCACTGGTTCATACCTTGTCAAAAGTGAATATATCGATTCGGGCAGTTATTCAAAGGAAAAAGTCAGTGTTCATGGTCATGAGCGTATTGACGAAAACATCAACTCCACCAACTCTACTGTTGCATATTCCTTGAAATTGTTCTTATCTAATAATGTTCTTATCTAATAGTTTAGTAGCAAGTGTATGGAATGGTTAACTCCACCAATTAACTTTTGCTACTAGAAAGTAGTTTTTAGTACTATAAAGCTGCCCTTGGTTACTTTAAACTTTTGCACTTTATGACTCATAAGACGAAGTAGTATTAAACAGGAGTTTCCTTATTCTCCATTTTGTTTTTTTTAGCTAAGGATACAGTATCAATACTGCAGTACAGAATTTCGCTTCTTTGAGTACCATACGTACATAGATTTCCAAGGGTGATGATCGTGTTTTCTTAAATCGTATTAACTGGAAAATGAGGAGGTCCTGAGATGCAAATGTTACGAGGCATTCAGTACTCATAGCAGCATACTTATTTAGGTTACAAAATGGTACTGCTGCTGTCACAGGTGCTAGTTCCATTCCGCTCCTGGCCAACCAAGCCTCTCATCCCTCCGCCGTCGAGAAATTGGTACCGGTCTTCTCTGGGAAAAATCAGTTTGCAATCCAATTGAGAACGCTCCAACCCGGTTATCTTAGGACTCCAGTAAGAATCGACTCGACCAACATTCTACGACATTCAAGATGAAATGAAAACCCTTAAGCAGCAAGCGAAACCACACGTAAAGTTGGAAGATCTTCGTGAATGATGAATTCGAGGAAACGAACTGAATGTGAGAAGTGCTGGCGCAGTGGGTGTGAAGATTGGTGAAATGAAATAAAACAAGTAGAAAAAATACTATCAGAGGGGAAGGAAAGTCCTCAAATTGTTACAAATAACCCCTTGAATGTAGCTAATCTATGAATATGCTATGAATAGCTGACTAATGTTAGCAAGGAGGGTGCTGGCTCTTACAATAGAAAATAATTTTCGCCATGAACTCTTCTGAGTTGAAGTTATTTCGAAAGAGGCGTACTCGATGCGACCTCTTCAATCTCTTTCCATACAGAGTATCTTTACGAACATTATATTACTCAACTCCGTCTTTTCCAAATAATTTCCTTTACGATTTCAAAGTTTTATAGTTTACAGATGCTAAATCCTGTTTGCAATCAATACGCAATCTTTACCATTTACACTGGCCCATGGACCCTACACTTTGTTGTGCTATCTACTCATAGCGTTAAGCTTGGTATATACTTCAGCAAGTTTGGTGTATTAAAACATTGCTTGTGTCATGCAACAGCGGACGCAACGTGTCCATCTTTATTAATATTTTCTTAGAATATTCCAGTAAATAGCTAACGGCGTAGTTTGCCTGTTGGTTGACATCAAACCAGTCACCGGACTATACGTGAATGTACTGACAGAATGCGACTCTCCCTCAAAATGGCCCGAGGAACTTGTGCTCACGTTTCGATATGCTCGTAGACTCCCATAAAATTTCTGTTGATAAATTTAGCAAGTATCTTCTATCTTTCTGATCTTATAGTCTGTCTTTCTCATTGTAGCTAGTATTGTCAGCGAAATGAGCATGAGTAAACCTTTTCCATAAACTGGAGTACAACAGGATACCATGTATAAACAAGACTGATACCCCAGTAATCACTAAGCCATAGCAATCTAAAATTTCTATCTTAAGCCAAAGCCGAGTTAACGTTTTTACCTCTTCAAAAGTTGTCAGCTCTCGCGATTCTTCTCTTTTCGTATTTGTTGGCCTCGTTCACAGAAATGCTAATTATCAACCATAAATATTCCACCAAGTTAGCAAATGTTCTGTAGGCTCTAGGCAAGCTGACGCTATTATTAAGGTTTACTTTTATTGAAGATCTAGCACTTGTGAAGTACAACTTTGTTCGACCACTTCGATTTGACCTCATTATGATCACCATCGTCCTGCCCTCCAATTCATTTTGTTCGGACTCTTCGACTACGAGCACAGGACACTGCTAATTCTTCTTAGTTTCTTCAGTTTCTTCTTTTTCACTTAGTATAAGGAGTCGATCGAAAAGCAGGTTAAATTCACTTAACACCTATATGATACGAACATATAAGCTTCCAACTCTTCTTGATAATTGGTTGTTCTGTGATGCGGATAGCGCAGTGATAGTGATCCCGTTCATTAAGAGGACGGCCCAACTTACTGGTGCACTCATTCGACCCAACCCTAGATCTAATAAGCCTCTCAGCCTTCAGGATCGGGAACCTTGGTACAAGGCTTGTGCGGAATCGGTTCATTCCAATCCACGTTATAACGCTCTAGCACAGCTATCGCAGCCGTCTGGACCATCGTTCATTCAAATTTGTAAGAAAGGTGAAAAAATCCTCAAATATCAGCTGAAGCTATATGCAAAAGAAGTACCAAGACCGCCATGGACTGTAAATGCGAGGAAACGAACCGAAGACAAAGTGTTGGAGTCCTCCTCGTGTGATGTCGGTTCATGGAATTAAAAAAATGAGATAAAATTGGTCGTTCATTCCCTTGATGCCACTACGTTGAGTTTTGGTTATTTAATGATATGAATATAAGACTCAATAATATCTGTTACAAAGCTATTGAAAGTAAGAAAATATACTCAATATATGCTGTAAAGGCAAAAGCTCACAACGCTGAGGCTGGAAAGTGGTCGAGTACTTTTCCGTAATTCGAAGGCGACGAAAATGCTCTACAAACACGGAAGAGTGCATTGAAAAAGATATGTACGACAATGAAAGCGGAGATCGCGTGAAACAAAAAAAAGCAACAATAAGGCAAAACGTCTGATAAAGAGGAGGGACCTTTTTCAGCGTTGGAGAAAGTGGTCTGCTAGCTAATTTCAATTCACATCTAGTGTTGTGAGAAACTAGGAGGTGTCACGAATGTACCTTAGGGTCATTATCACTTTAGCTTTAGAACCAAAAGGGCCTCCGAAGACGTGACATCACACCTTCACGAGCTTTCGGAGGAGCGAACATATGTGGAGGCATAGGAGGAGATCGCTATATCTCCATAAGAAAGAGTGAGCAGGATTTGGAGCTTACTAACTATTTAATGAATCAGGTCAGTTAGTCTTCAACCATTTAGTCCATTTTCGTTGTTTTAAACAGGCACAAACTATATACTTTAACGGGAAGAGTCGTGTTAAAGCTGCAGTGCATATGTCTAAGTTCAGTATGTTTGCGCATTAAGAGTTTTTTTTTCAGCCAGGTGATTCTACATTCAACACCTCCAACTCTGCTCCTGTTACTCCTGCTAAAAGCTATGAACGTGAACAAATGAAACGAATGATGAGAGGTAGTGACAATACTTGGATACTTGGATGGCCCATCTTCACTACTTGTGTAGGAGGCAGCAAAATTTCAATTTTTTCGGAGTTTGCTAGTTTAGTTCCTGTGGTTTCCTGGAATCCTGAGGTCAGCCTAGCCAAAGTTTGTCCCAGGTCGTAACCGCCACAGGCAGTCGCCGCCCTTGTGGGTTTTAGAGGGAGATTTGCTACCGTACGACTAGTTTGATACCAGGACCGTGCTGGATTCTGGTATTGGTTTATTCTTAGCTAGGTTTCCTGATGGAAACACCGGAGTCCTACTCAGCTTCGGAGACCCTGTCAGGGGATGAATCCCCAGCTGTACATCGTAGTCCGACACCCAGGAACACCTCCCAGCCACGATGAGGCGGTAAACCGTTGGGAGGCCGTATAGCACTATACAACAGAAATTCGCCAGTAGCTCTTAAAGAGGAATGTGGTTGTGGAATTTTACTGAAAATGAAATCGAAGTAAGTAAGGAATTCGCTGTAGAAAAGATATATAAGGAAGTAGTATGCTTTAATAAATCGGTCCTTAAAAAGGGGAGAATTTCCGGAGGATTTATTTCTTCTGAATGCGCTAGTGTTAAATTTAACATGAACGTTAACGAAAAATGAAGAATCAGTATGTTTCCAGAATATCCTTTGCACCTTTTAGTCTTGTCGTCTTCAATCAATGATGCTCTTTCAGGAAAGAACTAAACAATTACAATAAATTTTGATTCAGCTTTTAGTGAAATCTGCTGGTAATCTGACAGATGCTTGTGAAGAAGAGCGTATTCTCTGCTATAAAAAGAACTTGGCACCTGTCCCGGCTGTAGGACACCTAAATCAAGCGAAGGTGAGGAATGTTTCTAGAAAACTTACAGCGCAGTGAAGTCATCAACAAGTCACATTCGTGCGCTGCTGCGCTCTCATTCGTTAGTCCATCGATCAGCTTACAGCAGGCGGTACTTAGATTTCAAATTTGTTGCGTTTATTACTTTTGGTTGTTTTCTTTTGTATCATTTTTACTTACAATCCCACTACTCTTTAGTTTGCCAAAGGTATTTTTGTAGAAGTAATCCCTCATGGGGCGCGTGTGGCCCAGTGGTCCGAGTTTCCCTGCACTACACATAAGATCGATCCTCGTGCCCATGACTCACCAAGCCTTCCGTCCCTCTGAGGTCGACAAATTGCTGCCAAATTTGTCTAGGAGGATAGCAGCACTGGCTCGATACATCGGTGGGCCACCGCGAGTCAGTGTATGGACCAGACGAGTCATTGTGAAAGCCAGATATGTATCAATCACCTCCGACGATGCTTAATGAAGTCGAATGCATGGCTCATCCCTTAGGGATTGATCAACACCAAGAGCTTTATCCTTTAACTTTAGCTTTTAATTCCTCATTCCTTGTTTTAGGTTCTGTATTCGACATGTATCCAACCCGCATCTGCCGTAAAGAAATCGACCAGGCATATTCCACAACATCCCGAACGTGTTTTAGACGCACCAGATTTCAAAGGTATTGTTTAAATATCCATGTGATATGTTGCTATTGTTTTCTTATATGAAGCTTCTACCTATTCTTCTATGCAGATCTGCTACCTATTTCTTCTATGCAGCTCTGCTTGGTTTCACCGTTGCAGGGGTTTAAAATACAAAACATGAAAACGAGAAAATGAACTTGAGTGACATTTCATTTCTAGACGACTATTACATGAATGTAATCGACTGGAGCAGCTGTGGTGTGGTTGCTGTCGCGTTATCATTCACCCTTTATTTGTGGAATGCTGATACTGGTGAAATACAAGTTAGTCGAGGTTTTTTATCGGAGTTGTGCAAAATAATAGTTTTTGTCCTAGGTTCTCTTCGAGTTAGACGAAAACAACGAGATGAATTTAATAACAGGAGTTAAATGGTCTTTGGATGGAAAATTCCTCGCTGTTGGATTTAGGGATGGTTCCTTAAAGGTTGGTTAAGTGTTTTTACAGCTCAGTGAACTGCGATTTGTTTGACTGTTGTCGAATTTAGCTGTATGACCCTCTGCGCGTCTGTCCTCCGAATGGGAAACTTGAGTTACGGACGATGAAGCCACCTCGACAATCTCGATGCGGTGCTCACCATTTGTTTACTAGTATTCTAATTAGCTCTATAAAATGAAGCCATTAAAGGTGTGCTTTCATGGCGCGGTGCTGTTGTTTCGGCGGGGTATCAATCTGGACAGATCATTCACCACGATGTTCGTGTGTCCCAGCATATAACCGGGCATGTTACGTACCCTTTGGTATTTTTTGTAGCGTTGCCGTCTAGTAGAATTGTTGTGTCTGTTATCTTAATTTTAACTTGTTATTTACTGCCTACTCTTTTTAACGGCAGAGTACGAAATATAACTTTAATGATGCTGAGATATTTGCAAAACTCCGGACCGCAGGTGTCTGCGATGAGGAACGAACGCGCTATTGTCCTTTCTGGGAAGTAACGCGTTCACCACCTTACAATGTCCTTCGTTTCGCGTGTCTCTCAGTTCTATTGATCTTTTGCCTATTATATTTTTTATTTTGCTAGTGTTGTAGGGTCTGGGAAGGTCACGACCGGGAAGTTGTTGGCTTGCATTGGTCTCATAATCAGACCAAACTAGCATCCGGTAGTGGGGATAATACTGTTCGTGTGTGGGATGAAAGTCGATTAGGAACTAACACTTCGGTAATATAACTATATAATTATTGGTACTTTCTGCTGTTATTTGTTGAATTTTGTATTCTAGGAGATTCTATCTTTTCCGATTCTAGGAGAGTTTATTCGTCCTTGATGAGCATGTTGGCTCAGTTCGGGCAGTGCAATTCTGTAACTTCAAGTCAAGTTTGCTCGCTACTGGTGGAGGAATGCAATGCAAAACGATCAAGCTCTGGAACGTCAACAATGGAGAATTATTGAAAAGCATACAAACGGGATCTGCCGTATGTTGCTTATCGTTTCTTCATTGCAAGATTAATTGTTGAAATCATAATGTTTAACCTTTTATCTACTGCCTATCATTTTTTCACGGCATTTATCTGAAATACAACTATAGTGTTGCTGAAATATTTACAAAACATGGACCTCAGACCGGACTCAAACCAGCGATTACACCTTCCAAAGTTACACTTTTCAGGATCTCACATGTTACCCAACGCACTGCTGAGGGTCCTGCTTTGTCTTTCTCTCAGCCAGTTTTTTACGCTAACGGTGCCATCAGTAATCACCGTGAAAATTCGCATATTTTGCGAATTAAAAAGGAGCTTCTGTAGTTTAGGCAGCGCTTGGTGGTATTATTCACCAACATTTTGACTTCACTTACTACCGAAATATTTGAATATGCAAACATGAGTTGCTATTTCAATTTCAGTTTCAATTAATTGCTATTCAGAAATTGTAAATTAAGTTAGTTAAAAATTATTGGGTTTCTGCTCTAAATGGATTTCTGAGTGAATTTCACCAAGATGGCTAGTTCGATGGCTGTTTCGTTCAGGTGAATGGCATCATCTTCAACAGGGACTACAAAGAGATGATGTCAGCGCACGCTTGTGGTAAACTTATCATATGGAAGCATCCTAATTATGCAGAAATTGCTAAATTGTCGGGTGAATCTGCTTTGCTAGTTTTCTTTTCGGAGTGGTAATCTTTTCTTTGCCTAATCATGGTAGGCAAATGTAAGGAAATTGGGCATTTGAACAATACTAGTGCCATCCATACTTATTTTTCAAGTGTGTTCTGAATAGTCTGTACAGTTAAATATGTTTAACATTTCTACTTTTGTGCACTTTTCGCTCTTCGGATTTTAAAGACTGTTATTTCATTCGAAACCTGTATTTTCACTTCAATCACATTTTAGGTCACACGCCAGAACGGGCAATATCCATAGTTCAGTCACCTTGTGGTCAATTCGTTATGACAGCCGGTGGTGATGAAGCACTTCGAACATGGAATCCCTTCAAGGTGAATTCGGTCGTTCATTGATGGAACTGATTTTTTTATATTTGATTAATTTGACGCTTAAAAGTATTTTCTAATGGAGGGATGAACCATTGCTGTAATATGAGGCATCGAAGACTCACAGGTTGTTCCTTATGGTGTTGTACGAAGACAAAAGCGAAACAACGTTGTGCAAAAAAAATAGCGAGATATCTGCTACTTTTTGATGCCATGTTTTATATCTGTTGGAAAAAGAAGTTGCTGAACTGCTTCTGAACATACTTTCTCTTCTAAACTTGAACTTTGGCGCAGTTGGCCTGCAATACACATGGGATCGATCCCCGCGCCCAAGACTTATCAGACCTTCCATCTTTCCGAAATCGGCGAATTGGTACCGCACTTGTCTGGGAAGATAGCGACACTGGCTCGATACATCGGTAGACCACTGCGAGTCATTGTAAAGGCTACATATGCATTCAGTCACCTCCAACGATGCTTAATGAAGTCGAATGCACTGCGCATCTCTCGGGGTTGGTTCAACGCCGCGAGCTTTGTCCTTTTTTTTTTAACTTGAACAGAGATGGTTCATGATTCTTGTGACAGTCATCGCAGTTATTTACTTAGCGATGAAGATTTACAACCGTCAAATTCGTTTAAATGTGCTATTGCTTTTTAGGTGGATAAGAGCACTCAGCAGTTGACCCAGAGAAGTAAAATGTTCAGCTCTTTAACGATTCGATGATTTCCAGACTTGTCTTTGTACTTACTTCGCCACGTATACATTATTAACTAGGCTTCCACTTTAATTTGGTATATGGGCTTTAATTGTATTGATTCACATTTTCCTTCATTTATAAGTCTTGTTCATGCTTATAGCATGTTATTATTGAAAAGTCATAGACGTTTAAAGTATAAAGCTGTCTGATTATTATTCGTTCGTAAATGTTCCAAACATTACGTCACTTATGATCATTGCAAGAGGTTTGTCCAACGTGTTTTTATATGTTCTTCCCAATAAATGTAGATTTTGTAGTTTCCTGTTGATCTATTAGTGGTGAAAAGAGGCCAGGTTTCGTACTATTTGCTGTGGCAGTCAAGGATTTGTACCACTCAGGTCTTCAGTGTAGTATTTTGAAATGTAACCTTCATTTCGATGTTAGCATTTTGGTATGGGAGCGTGTGGCGCAATGATCGGAGCTGCTCTCCAACTCATGTGGGGTCGATCCTCGCGCCCTTAGCTCACCAAGCCTTCCATCTCTTCGGGGCCGGCAAATTGGTATCAGACATGTCTGGGAGAATAGTAGCAGTGGCTCGATACATCGGTAGGCGACATTGAGTCATTATGAAAGCCAGATGTGCATTCGGTCACCTCCGAACGGAGCTCACTGAAGTCGACTGTATAGAACATCCCTAAGGGATGAATCAACACCGCCAACTTTATCCTTTATGACGACCTTAGTACTAATTCTTTACAATGATGCGTGCGCTGATAATTATTAGAAGACGTTCGGACTGAAAGTGCTGATTGAAGTCCCAGGGACGTTTTATATCGTGGAACCTCTAGACCTGTTTTTCGTTCGTCCACTGAAGAGGATTTCGTCGCATGTTGATCAGTCGTGGAGAACTGCAACGTACATTGGCGCGAAGGAAGAACAAATATAAGCTTCTACCTACCCTTAATAAACAATTTAGTGCAACCATGCTTTCCTTCATCGTACTGTTAGCTTGAGTGGAAGCAGCTGATGTTATTTCTTTGTTCAGTAAAATGGCAGTGGGTAAAGCAACAGTTCACCGCCTCATTGCTACTGAGAAGCAATACTGGATGCCGAACTGCTATATTCAGCGCGTGGTTTACTCTACCGCCAGGGTCATACTCAGTGCTGCTTTTCGATAGTTCGAGGTTTACATATGGATTACCAGCCACTAATAAATTTCTGTTCTAGTAACGACTGACGACCTATCTATTCTATCCGAATACAGAAATCTTTACAACACAATTTGATTTGGCTTATTGCTGAAGGGAAAGGTGAGCTGATAATCTTGTAACGTGCCAGTATTTTAGAATCTTAGTCGTTATAAGTGTGACGGTATGAGGTGTAACTCAGGTGTCACTCTTTTCAAAAATCTCTTGTTGCTTCTCGTGCGCTACCTCCCAGAATCAATATTCCTCAAAGGACAATTAGGATAAAGCTCTTGGCGTTGATCAATCCCTCAAGGGGTGCACCATGCATTCGACTTCATTGATCATCGTTTGAGGTGATTGGATGAATACTCTGTATTCATCAAACTGCTGCCAAATACGACCATATGAGGGAGTCACTTTTGCTCATCTGTGTTCCATTTGTTCACTTAGCATTTGGATGGAGCCATCTTACTTGAATACTTGGATGGCCCGTCCTCACAAGTTGTGCGGATCCTAGCATAATTTCCCTTTTTCGTAAGTTTTGTTGGTTAGCCATTGTGGTTCCCTGGAGTCCTGAAGTCAGCCAGGCCAGAGTCATACCCAAATCGTCACCACCGCAGGCAGTCGCTCTCTTGTGGATCAGAAGGATGCTTGCCACCATGTGATTAGTTTGATACCTGGACGGTGCTGGACCCTGATAATAGTTAGCTTTCAGCTGGGCTTCCTGATTAAAACACTGGATGGAACCATCATCACTGCTAAAATACGTTTTCGACTTGACCAAAATTTTGCTGTTTAATGATTTTTTTCTGAAAATACGAAGTAAAAGTAAATTTTCAAGTCGTCACCATAGTCAACTGCCATTCTTTGTAGATCGGGGAATGTTTGCCTTTTTATCATTCCTGATTTTGATTTACTCTTACCTATTTTCGGAGCAAAACTTCAAAGTCCTCTGTAGTCCTGGTTTTTAATCCGCCACGAGTATTCGCTCTTGAGTAGCTTTCCTCTAGCAAGTTGACTACGTATTCCCAATTGATCTAACCGTGTCTTCTAAAGGTTCGATACGTTCATCCACTTCTATCCTTTCTTCAAAAATCTATTTGGGGAACATCTTGGGAAGCACATCTGTTCGCGTTTAACAGCTACTTTTATTGTTCCTTGAGTAAATTATTAGTGGTAATTATTTAAAAATTGGTTTCTATTGTGATAAGTTTTTTTTCAGGACTTCATCCATTGCTGTTTTTCTTGCTATGCACACTTGTTGGGTCGTCAAGTCTTTATGTCTCGATCCTAACAAGAGCTTGAGGAAACTGGGATTTTAGAGTTGAAACTTTCAAAGTAGAAAGAGTGATGAATAAATCAAGAAAATAGAACTGGAGAATTTGCACATTTGAGACAAAAAGGATGCGGCTACAAATGGCAGTGGTGAGAACGGAACTGCTATACGGATGAAGAATAAAGATTAAAGCCCTCGGCGTTGATCAATTCTTGAGGGATGCGCCATGCGTTCGACGTCATTAAGTATCGTCGGAGGTGATTGAATGCATATCTGGCTTTTACAATGACTCACAGTTGTTTACCGATGTATGGAGTCAGTGCTGCTATCCTCCTAGACAAGTCTGGTACCAGTTTCCGGACCTCGTAGAGATGGAAGGCTTGGTAAGCTACGGGAGCGGGGATCGATCCCATGTGTGTTGCAGGGCGTCTCCGACCACTGCACCACAGGCGCCGGTTGCTATAAGGAAATCAGGTAAATCATTTGTCGGCTGTCAGCTCTTTGTATAGAACGTATGGAATCGTTACATTCATCGCCTCTGATATGCTAGAAAGTGGTCGTCATACTTAATTTTGTGAACTAATGGATTGTTTACGTTTGTGTGATAGTGATATGTTTGTTTAGTTTCACTGATCTCCGTATGATGACCAGTAATGTATACGTATACATATATATATGTGTAGATATGTGTATGTGTACATATGTATGCATATATACATATTTATGCGTATGTACATAATCTAACTAACGATCTGCCTTTGTTTGTATAGAAAATTAGCAGTTGTCACAGATTTTAGGGTTCTGCTCTTTTCTACTTAGCGATTACCTGTTAGTATTCGATTGAATCGCATTTTCTGGTAGCAATTCGTGATGTGATAGTGTTTTCATCCTTAGTTCTTGTTTTTTTGCCTTCTGTTGAAGAGTTCTTCGAATGATTTGAACATAAATTTACAACTGATTATCTTTAAGATTTGGTTGTCGTGTAAGCGATGATACGATATTTTTAGCTGTTTGGTTTTTTTTATTTTAGGAGTTCAGATTTTATTAACCATTAGTTATCCATTAGCCTGATTGGTATGAAAAATAGGTCCACTGTCACTCGGCTGTTGTTTTTCCCTCATTTCCTCATGCGGGATCTCTTATACAAATAACATTAAGACCATTAGTGTACTTCTAGTGAGTAAATTCCTTGAGAATAGCGTCCTGGGCTAGAGTAAGTGAAACTGCTAAGGTCGTATTTTGGAGCTTATGTAAACTAATCAGCTTCAGATGGATGCTGCCCATGCGAATGCCGATTGTGCGTTCTTAGGCAAGAAGCCGTTTGGATTTTTAATGGCTCTGCAAACGGTAATCAAGGATTTCCTTTAAGTCTTTGGTTTTGGATAAGTTGCTTAAATTAAAATTAAACTAGGCAGAATAGAACCTGTCAGTTGTTCTAACTGTAGAACTGACAATTAGTGTAAATTATTCCGTTGAGTTTTTACCGATGGCTTTTTTAGGCGTTCAGTTTATTCATCGTCTTACTAGTAGTATTTGCTCCGTTCGTGTTTGAAGGTGTGAGCTTTGTAAGCGCTTGTGCTTTCACCCTCTTCTGTTCCTCTCTAATCTACAATCTGTTTCACATTATGGGATGGAACCGTAAGGTTTGGTGAACCAATCTTATACTTCCACTTGAGTTGAATTTTTGTAATTATTTGTGGCATTCTCTGCAATATCTAAAATCGCGTCGCTACAAGTCATATATGATTCATACTCCTTTCAAACTTTTATTTTGCTGGACAGTTTTGGTTTTTATTATACCCATCGTAACCAACCACTACCTTATCTACGACAAACATTTGGCAGCTCGTCGATTGAGTAAAGTGGGGAGAGTTATTCTCTGTACTGATATTTGATCCAAAACCACATGTGGATTCTAGCTCTTTTTTCTTCGATCCTTTGTCAAGCAACCGGTTTAGGTTTTGCATGTGGATTCGATTGCTATCCGGACGTTTCTTCTTCCTTATGAATGTCGATGAGTACTTGTCGAGTTAATTTTGTCTGGAATCATGTGATAATTCTACTATAGTGTTCCGAGGTCTTCGTCATAGGCAGTTGCCGGCGGTTGTTGATCGAAAATTTTGCCAACTAAACCTGGTACTAAGCTGCTGACTTCGGAAAGACAGGAGCCTTGTTTCGCCCTTGGCGAGGTCGAAAAAGCAAGAACTCGTGCTTTTCACGGCATTCTTAAAAACTAGGCTGTCTACACCTCCTCTAGAATAGTTTAATATTTATAGCATGCAGGAATATCTTTGAATGGGTTTGCTGGTCTGTTTGAGTACCGTAGTAGCCAAACTTGTTGCTGAGGAGTACTATGGTCTCTTTGCTGTCCTTATGTACTAAGTTTCGACTTGTGGTACATTTCGCCACGACAAGTCTCAGCACATTTGCATATTGGTTGATACAAATTTACGTACTTGGCATACTTGGACGGCCCGTCTTCACGAGATGTGCACACGCCAGCACATTTTCCACTCGTTTCTTTTTTTTTTATTATTTTCAATGGCAGGGTATAATGCGAAATATAACTTCTATAATGGTGAGATATTTGCAAAACTCCGGACCGCAGGCGTCTGCGGTGGGGAACGAACGCGTTATTGTCCTTTCCGGGGAGTAACGCGTTCACCACCACACCATGCGGGTCCATCGTTTCGCCTGTCTCTCAGCTAGTTCTATCGATATTTTGCCAACAGCAATCACCCGTCAACGGGATTGATCTGGGAAGCCCAAATGGACAGGACTAGCTGAGAGACAGGAGAAACGAAGGACCCGCCTGGTGTAGTGGTGAACGCGTTAATCTCTAAAAAGCGTAATAACGTGTTCGATCCCTACTGCAGACACCTGCCGTCCGAAGTTTTGCAAATATCTTAAACTCATTGCAATTATATTTTTAATCATACCCTACCATAGACAGTAAATAAAAAGCAGCTGCATTGTGATTTATATTATGGCTTCAGCTTAGTTGGGTCCAATGTCGATTTGCGTTCCACAGACCAATCTCGTTGATTGGTAATTGCTGTTAGCAGTTATAGTTTGAACACGGCTTAGAGGAAGGCGGGACGAAAGACACGAATGGTGTGCGTTATTCTCCGGAAAGCGCAATAGAGTGTTCGATCACCACTGCAGACACCTGCCGTGTGGAGTTTTGCAAATATCTCAACCTCATTGTGCTTATATTGCAAATCATAGCATACCGTAGGCAGTAAATAAAAGGTAACTATATTTGTTTCATTATCTGCATCTGGTATAACCTAGTTGGCACTATCTGAAGTAGGTAAGGAATCACAATATTTTGCTATTTTCCTATAACAGCTAACAAAAGGCCTTCGCTCCATTAATACTGTACCGTGTTCTGCAAGGGCGTGACCACTTCTAGGCGTAGGAACAGCTTCATTCTAGGAGAAAATGCAAGTAGTTTTAGGTGCAACCGTCTTCAACATTCTCATTATAGATCCTCCATGCGTTGAGTGAAAAGATCTCTTTCCATTTCTGTTGATTCAAAATGTGGATGAGTCTTGTGCACGCCGTCTTGGCATCATGGCTTGTAACTTTGGTCCGAGTAGAGTGAAACTAATGACTTTTCAAACCTGAATCATATTTAATGAGTGATTAAATGAATTTATGAAAATCTGAAGATATGATCAGCGTATGCTTCAAAATCAACTGCCAAACGATAACATTGCGGTGGTTAAGTGTCGAAGAAGTTTATTTTTCATCATACAGAAGTGTCCGGTATGTTCCAAAGCGTGGAAGCGTACACATAAATACATAGGCGTTAATTCTTTCTACTTGTGTTCAGCAAACACGAAGTGTTATTTTACTTCTTTATTTACGTACAAGCTGACATTTCAGCGGATTTCGCCTTCCACAGAGCCTGGAAAGGTCAAGTTGACAGCAATCTATTCGGCCAGACACCTCCATAACCAAACAAAGAAAACGTTAAACCAAAATTTCAATCACACTGAACACAGCTGTGCACACTCACCGTTTTCTATGAGTCTTCCACTGAACATGTTGCGTGAAGACCAACCGCACAGATTTTACATGGAAGCCTAATGTGCCTCTCCCATCAGAATAACAGGTTTATACGGTGTCCAATATCACGCGTGATAGTGACGCATTCCTCCCTGTGGTTCATTTTCGGATTTCTGGAATTAATCCAGAATGCCTCGAGAGTTTTGCGCGCTTGTGTTCTTGATTCGTGTGCGAGGATCGTGACACATACTTCAAAGTCCTCCCCGTTATGTCTCTGGGTCCTATGCTTGTCTAGTGGAGTATTTGGTTTACGTTTGCCAACTAGGTGTTCTTTTATACGAACGCAGAGTGGTCTACCCGTTTCGCCAACATATTTGTCCCCGCACGTTTTACAAGAGATATGATAGAATGTACCCGTACTCATGCAGTCACCATCTCTTCCATTCGGACAGATTATGCAATTTTGCGTTGCACATAGACGGTCGTATAGGTGGTTACGAACTAGCTGGCATCTTAGATTACTCGGTGGTATTTCGATTATCATTACCGAATTCTCTAGACTGGCCTTTCTTAAACAGCGTTTTATAGCTGCGCTTCATTTTAAATGAAGGGCAGTATAAACGGGACCTTGTTGTCGCTAGAGATATCGTTGGGGTACCTGTGGTTTCCTGTACACCTATCTCGAGCTACAGTTTCGTAGCCATTAAAAATGGCTATTTGCCGCGCCAAGTTCAGGGACTCCTCTTTCTACTGTCTTCCTGTGCACACGCTGGTAGCTGTTCGATAAATGTTTCTCACAAGCGCCCTTTTCGTGTGAGAGAGGTGAGAGGAGTGGTAATGAACCAGGATGTTTTTACTACTTGGCTTTCGATACCACTTCGGAATGTAGCCGTTTTCTGACAGGCTAATTTGCACGTTCAGAAATGGAAGCCAGTTTTCTTTTGGTTTCTCTCGGGTGAATTTAGTATACTCTGACTGTTCGTTCAACAACTCGAAACATCTGTCAATTTCTTCTTGTGTTGAACAAATGACCAAGTAGTCATTTGTATATCTACAGTAGAGTAACGGACCGAGATCGATTGCTGACGCTTCCATCTTAGACATGAATGCAGTGGCAAGGCTTGGTGCCAGTCGTTGTCCTATTGCCAACCCTCTCATTTGTGCGTATTACCTCCCGGACCATCTGAAGATTGAGCGGTTTAGGCACTCCTTTAAGAGTGTCATCAACTGCTGAATCGAGAAGCCGTACATGTTTATCGCTCCTTCGTGTTGTATAAGGAGCTCTCTTATGGCTTGTATAGCGGAGTCATTGGACACGTTCGTATAGAGGGCGATGACGTCAAGGACTCCACCACGTACGCACTGTTGGGTTGCGCGTTACGTAGACGATCCTGGAACATTTGGGTGTTCGTTAGATGAGGTGGAATGTAGTTTAACAACTAAGTATTAGGGTTATTAACCACGTTATTCTATCCGTTGACCTGTCCACGCAGCTAATGATAGATCTAACCTTAAATAACGATGGATCGGTAGACACGAGAGCATCGCTGGGTACTAACTTATGGGTTTTGGTAAGTAAGTACAGGACGGGACATGTTGGACGGGACGTCTTCTCTGTTTGGTTATGGAGGTGTTTGGCCGAATAGGTTGCTGTCAACTTCAACTTTCCAGGCTCTGAGGAAGGCGAAATCCGCGGAAACGTCAGCTTGTATGTAAATAAAGAAATAAAATAGCACCTCGTGTTTGCTGAACAGGAGTAGAAAGAATTATTCAATCAATGCCGAGGTTAATAGAACGTCGGACTTGGGAGTTACATAGGCGTTAATCGAAATATAAGAATGCACAGAAATAGTGGAAAATAAAGAAGAGTTATACGACGAAAAACGGTCAAAAGAGATGTGGCTATTTTTGGGGTGGTGAAGTGGTTAGTGTGAATCACATATGATTCGTAGCAAGCGCAACGAAAAAGTATTCAATCAGTTTCATTCCTCAAAAAATTACATGTTGTCGGTAAAGTTTTGAATGTTTTTGTATGGAACTGTTTCACTATGGGAATTCCAGGTTCTTCAGTTACCAGGAGGCATAAATGTTTTTGTCCCATGTACTCTGTGGGTTAGTTGATGCTTTATGACTTCGAATTCGGTCTTCTTTTGAACTCCTGATTATATTTGAAGGTGTTCGCTTTCTCTGTCATATTCTTCTTCTTGTTCTCATTCAATACTCTCATATGTTTGGTTGGATTTTTCGATTCATTCCGGTTCACAGTACGCCTGATTATCACATATTTTTTCTTGTCGGTGAGTTAGTAAGACTTTCTAAACTAATTTGCTTATCTATAGCTGAGTGTCTGTTACTTCTTCAAAAGTTCTTGGTTGTACTGAGCATACGTTGCACTTCAGTTGCCGCTATTGAAACAGTTTTAATTAAAACCGTGAAGATTGCACTTTATAGTCTGATATTTTAGTAGAAGCGGCGCTGATAAACTAAACAAGGAGCCTGTTGACTGCCCAGCTTATACTACTTCGACACTTGGGTGAAACGTCCTCACTGGGTATGCGGGCCCCAGAATAATCTCGACTTCTTCGGAACATTGCTGGTTTAGCCACTGTGGTTCCCTGGAGTCCCGAGGTCAGTCAGGCCAATGTCCATCGCAGGTCGTCGCCACCACAGGCACTAGCCGCCCTTGTGGATTAGAGGAAGATTTGCCACCATGTGACTCACCACTTGGTACCTGGACGGTGACGGATCCTGGTGAGACCCTGCCAAGGGGATGAATTCCGTCGTTGTACAGCGCAACCCGACACCGAGGAACACCTCCCAGCCACGATGAGGCGGTAAACCGCTGGGAGGCTAACAACCTTATATGGAAAACATTAGAGAGAAGTTTAATCTGCTAAGGCTGTACGATATTAGCCATTATATGAAACTGAAACATTATTTTCAGCTAGCATGCGCCGCAAATGCGTTTATATGTCTTCGTCTCGGAATCCTTCTATTCAGAGCTGCACCAAATAGCCAGATACTTGCCCTGACTACAGTAATAATTGATGGTGACAAAACGTCCAGGTCTGTTGTAGTATCTTTTCCTGGACTCTTTTCCTGATTAATTTTTTCTCATCATTATCGTTTGTGTGTTGTTATTATTGTCATTATATATTATGTAATTATTAGGAGCCAAGTAGTAAGTAGCAAGTAAATATTATTATTATTTAATACCACCGGTGTTAAAATAAAAAGGGTAGAGCTGTAGGCATTGATCAATTCCCAAGGGATGCGCCATGTATTCGACTTTACTAGCTATCGTTAGAGGTGTTCGAGTGCATGTATGACCTAATCAATAACTTGTGGTGGCCGACCGATGTATCAAGCAGATGCTGCTATCCTCTCAGACAAATCTGGTTCCAATTTACCGACTCTGGTGAGATGGAAAGCTTGGTGAACATAGGGCGCGGGATCGAACCCATGAGTATTGCAGGGCACCACTATGCTACACATGCCTCATTACTGATGTTAATCGATTTTATTTTACTGTATATATTTCTTTGTTTATATGACCCAGCTTTCATTACTATACGGATCCCAGTCCTCCGATTTGGTTTGTTGTCTCATTTCCATCATCCACGAGAGTCTTCGTAGTTTCGCGTGACTTCAACTTCCTTTTTTCAAACCTTGCCGTCTTCATAAAAGTAATTGAATGCTGGACTTGTCGATTTTGCTTGGAATCTTGGGATAGCAGTGTTGAGATGCTCCCATATCTCCAAACTGTCACCATCAACTATGTTAAGATCAAATTATATATTGAATTCTTGCATTATATATACATATATTACACATTATTATATCATGACAGTATCGTTAGCAAGGCGAGAGTTTGATGGGGATTTGATATCGATGCTTATGCTCTTATCGTCCAAGTTCAGTGACTTCATTATCCGCTGCAACTCACCAGTAAACTGATTTTGCGGAATAATGTATTCGATCTCTTTTCGTATTGGGATTGGTGACGAGAGAATGGAAAAGTTGTATCTTCTGCCGCACTTACGATAACAGTCATCTGGAGTTCTCGTATAGGACGGCTCCATTTCTTGGTCAACGAATGCTGGTGGGATTCCAAGTAGTCAACAAAGGTTAGAGAAAAGTGCGGTTGATGTACTCTAGACAAATTTCTCTAACCCGGGTACGGTTAGAAGTTGTCAATGAATTAGAGTCCTTGTTGGAATTCGGCTTGTGTACATGTAATTTGTTGTTTCCAGCTCGAAGAATGTCAGCGATGATATTATAAGGTCCTGGGGCTGTGTCTCTTTTCATGTTTTTAATCGCAGTTCGAACTTCAGAGAATAGAGTCTCGGACGGTTTTTCTCCAGCGGTGAATTCTGCGTCCGAGACGGGATGTGGAACGGGGAAGATCGGTACAGATCTTTTCTATTATTAATTCCATTTCATGGCGGGATGTGGCGCTGGTAGCAGAACTTTATAGTCAAATAGATCTCGACGGCAGTTTTTCGCAGAGGTTTCCTTTCGACGTTCTTCTAACAGTTTTATCTTTCCCTATCCATTTATGTCCTCGTTTAAAGATTTTCTACAGCTGGCATTTATAATCAACCGTGTTAGGTGTGTTGCAGTATTACCAACCATCAGTTTTTTTTCGAGCAGCTCTTTATTGGTGATAGAAATGGAGTTTGACTTTTTGAGGAAGTGAGGAGAGTTCGGCACAAGTTTTAAGTCCTTCGACAAGCAGCTGTAGTCTTCCGTCGGGACTTCCTTTATCTGCCTGTTATATGAAGAAAGGTTTGATTGAGAATATTCTCGTTATACACGACGTGTCTTCTTCTTCTTCTTCTTCTTCAGGGACGACGATAGGAGTTCGTTTCAAGGTAATGATGCCTCATCGTTGTTTCCTATTTCGTCACACCTTATTTCATGTGGTTGCTGCATGTAATTGTATGCTGCGCGCTGTGAATTGAAATCAACTAATGTTGACCAAATCTCCACTCTTCATTCTTCCACCATATATACATAGTCTACTTAGATGCTTGCATGACCCGTCCTCACTGGTTTGAAGACTCCAGCATAATCTCCATTTTTCGGAGTTCTGTTGGCTTAGCCACTGTGGTTTCCAGGAGTTCCGAGGTCAGCCAGGCCAGAGTCTGCTTCAGGCCGTTGCCACCACAGGCAATAGCTGCCCTTGGGAATCAAGGGGAGATTTGCCATCATGCGATTAGTTTAATACCAGAAGGGTGGTGGATCCTGGTATTGGTTAACTCTTAGCTGGGTTTCCTGATGGAAGCGCCGGACTTCTTCTCACTTTGGGAGACCCTGGCAGCACTGTTGGGGGGATGAGCCCCGTTCCCCTGCTGTACGTCGCAGTCTAGCCCCCGGGAACACCTTTCAGCCACATTGAGGCGGTAAACCGTTCTGATATATATGGATTGCAAAGCTTAACACATGATTTTAAAATCTATGCAATTTCCATGTCGTTATATGTTTTCGCGAAAACAATATGATTATTAGAACTTGGATTAGAGTTTATCATAGTGTGAAGTGAGACCTACACATGAAGTAGACAAGCTAGGAAACGATGGTTAATATTTTATTATTAACGATCTTACATGATGTGTTGTTTTCACAGGATGGAAGGTGCAGCACCTCGGTTTACTCCTGCGACTACTCCTACTAGTAATCCAGTTTGATTGTGCTTGTATTCGTTTCCTTTCCTTAAGCGTTTACCTCATTTCAGCATAAGCATTCAGTGGATGTTTTGTGCATCTCAGTATAATGCTTTCATAATACGTTCTATTTATTCCGCAGTGTTTACGCATTGTTTCTATTGGCTACGCAATGTTTTATCTATGTCCCTATTGTTGTGTCTGTTTCCTTTTCACGTTGTCAATAAATTGGGTTTGCGCTGGTAAATTGTCCTTCGGACACAACCACAATTTCGTTGTATTTCACATAATGGTCGACCAAAAGAAGTAATATGCAGTAAATAGAAAGTTAAACATTGTTCCTCGGATAATTTCCTGTTTTCTTGGTAAGTACAGATTGATTGATTCTGTTTTTGCCTATTTGGTCATCAAGAAGACTGGATTATATTTCGAAACCGGTTTTCCTTTAACTTTTTTGTGACCAGTCAACACGTATTCTTTCATTTATAAGCTTACAGGAGGTTTATAAACCACGTTGTTCGACTAACGTCCTAACGTCTTGTATTCGTCAGGGCCGATGTTCCTGGTCGATGGTCCACAGGTCGCCTTTTTTGATGTGGATTCTTCGTTTTCGTATCGAGTGGGATCTTCCTCAGTGGAGCATTTCTCAGATGAGATAGTCTCACCCGATGATGCTGTTTTATACAAGACGATGAGTGTTGATAATAGTGATTGTCCGGTAATAACGACTGGTTTTTTCCGAACAATGCATGCTGCAGAAGTCGGTATCGTTATCAGCTACCATACTGTATAACAATGTTTGAAAATCGACTTTCCATTAACCTCAGTATGACCAATCAATATGTATTCTTTCAGTGACTTAATATCAATGGCGTGGTTAGTAGAAATTCAATGCTGAGGATTATCCCATGTCCTTCAAATAATTTATGAAAAGCCTAGACCGATTGTGTTTGGCGTTGTATTCACATAATTCTCAGTTTTTTCTTCATGGTCGACGTAGAAGTGCTTGTAAAAAAAAGTTGGAACGGTTTTCGAAGCTTGTGGACACCTATGGAATTCCGGTATTGCTTCGCTAGGAATTCAATACAGGACTTTTCTCAAGATTTAAAGATGTAAGTTTCAATGTTATTTTCTCGGTTCACATTGAAATTGGGGCACATTGTTCCTTTAGTAAGATTCTGCCTTCATATTAAGGCCTTATCGTAGACGACCAATCTGTAACTTGTTCAACCAACGGTTGGTAGTAATTTTACTTTTATTTTCTTGTTTTATGTGACCTGTCTTCACCTCTACTGTGCGGATTACAGCACTTCTCACATCTTAGTATTATAGCGTATTATTATCACAGTTGGTGTTTTAACTAACAGACCACCATGACTGCAGTCCTCGTTATCAAAAGATATGAATGCAATGGTCGAACTTTAAGCATTTTATGTTACTACTTCACAACAGTACAGAACTTCCCAGCGGTTCACCGCCTCATCGTGGCTGGTGGCTGGAAGGTGTTCCTGGGTGTCGGGCTACGATGTACAGTGGGGGGGGGTTCATCACCATGGCATGGTCCTCCAAGCTGAGACGGTAATGCGTTCTTATCGGGAAGCCCCTAGATAAGTGTAAACCGATACCGTGATCCACCACCGTCCTAGTATCAAACTATTTCCATGGTGGTAAATCTCCCTCCGATCCACAAGGGCGGCGACTGCCTCTGGTGGTGACGACCTGGGGCAGATTTTGCCAGGTTGACCTCGGGACTACACGGAAATAATGGCTGAACCAGTCAAAAAATGGAGAATATGCTGGGACCCGCACAACCAGTGACGACGGGGCGTCATAGTTTTCAAGTAAGTAAGTAACAATAGGGAACAATATACTTCCTTTTTCTAGCAATGTGCAGCAAATTAACATCGGCCAAGTTTGCGAGCTAACGATTTCGTCATCCTTGAAACTGCTCCATCTGTATTTGTCCAGGTGGCTGTAGTGGGGCTCTGTTGTGTGAGCAGCACGCAAGGACGAACACATTGGAAGAACATAAGCGAGAACATAAAAATCGTAACCGCTCCAGCCACCAGGTTGTGTGGAAGATCTGAAGCAGAAAGCATCACCGCAGTTGTTCTTATCACCCACTCAAACTGTTCATGGGGCCACTTAGTTCCCAAAAACACCATCAACACCACCATTCTTATGGTTCACACTCGCTTTCATGAAAATATTGCTGATTATTATCCACCTGCTGTATATCAACCTAAGTAAGTGGAGATGTCATCACAACGAGACCTTTCATGCATAACTCTTCTCTATGCTGCATGCGTTGGAGAAAAGAATAACGAAATGCTCAGCATTGTCGATGCCATGCCACAATAAGACCGACAATCAAACTTCTTAAGAGAATTAGCGCATTTGCGATTGTCGTTGATTTCACATGGCAGCAAAAAAGGGTCTACGACTTAAACACGGCAGTGCTCATTTCTTTGGTAATAAGCGAAAATTTTTGATGGCTTAAAGAGCTGCGAAGTTGTGAACATCTCAAAGTTATGGAAAGGGCGTGGCTTAATCCATCTAGATGAGTCTACGGTGCTGTTCTAGCAAATCATCCACGCCAAGCTGGATGAAGAACAATGTCAGATTAACAGAATTAAGACATACTGCTGGAGCTTAAAGAAAACAATGACATTATTATGACGCACACAGTCTTCGAGGTGACCGTTTCCGCGAACTCAAGGAAACCGTAAGTAGTTAATTGTAGGCAAGAATTTCAAGTTTTACGCAAAGAATTTTAATTGTGTTTAATTTTAATTATCACAAATTTTAATCACAATTAAAGAATTAATTATTAATTATAATTAAATATCCATTTATTTTATTTATGTAAAACTGAGAGGCGCATGTGGCGCAGTGGTTGGAGGCGCCACTGCGATACACACGTGGAATTCATCCTGTGCCCATGGCCCACCAAGCCTTCCATCCCTCCGGGGTCGGAAAATTGGTACAATACTTGTCTGAGGCGATAGCAGCACTGGCTCCATACATCGGTAGGCCACCGCGAGTTATTGTAAGGGCCAGATATGCATTCAATCACCTTCAACCATACTTAATGAAGTCGAATGCATGTCGCATTCCTCAGGAATTGATCAACGCCGAGAGCTTTATCCTTTATTATGTAGAACTGCAGGATGTTGTGTTTAGAATAGAAACCAAGACTTGGTAACTGTTTCGAAAGACGAGACTGGTTAAACTCCACTGATGATAGCATGCCCTGTAGCACCAGGCCATTCTGAAGGATGCTCTCGATTGATTTGTTTAGAGTACTGATCTTACACAAGGTTGGTTAACGTTTATTCAGAGTCTATAGCCAGAGCCAATGGTCGACAGTGGTTCGTCCTCACATTGTGGGTCTCTGTAGTCACAAGGAGTCCAGTATTCTTCAGGGAAGTACCACTTTGTGACTGGGTGTCTTAGTGTATGTTCAGGTTGTATTCTACCAGTCATTTTTGCCAAAACCTCCCAATCAAAATTCACTGAGAGGAGAATGAGGAGAGGTTAAAAATCGCATTCACTTAATAAACTCCATGCGCATTTCAGGAGATTTTGGTAAACCACCCTTGAATATGGCCAGGGCACAGGTTAAGAGCACTGCAAACCAAATAGAGGTATGACTAATTGAACGTAGCAAAATCATGGATCCTTATTTTCTTTATTCTAAAAGAGTGGCAGCTAGGCTGCATAAATCAAAAAGGAGTAAGGTAATGATCTGTATTCATGCTTCCTTCTCATTTGAATCCGATTCCTTCACTGAGGAATATATGGTCCAGAGTGAACAGGCCAGGTGCCACTTTATCAGACTATCCAAGATGGAAGGCGCTGCCTATTCAACGCCGCACATGATACCGGAGGAGAACTCTTCCTTGCAAAACGTGACTATGGAGAAGTTGGAAAATGGGCATCTTCAGCAAAACATGCTTGCAAAGGAATATCTACTGTTCGAACAACTAACAGGACGCTTGAAGGAATTCGAACATACGCCGATTCCGACAATTTCTGCTGTCTACAACCTAGATAAAGCCATGGCGAAGCTTTCTAGATGAAGCTGGGCAACCTTTAAACGATTACCATACCCGTTTTATTTACTGCCTACTCTTTTTAATGGCGGGGTATATTTCGAAATATGACTTCAATGGTGCTGAGATATTTGCAAAACTCCGGACCGCAGGTGTCTGCGGTATAGAACTATCTCAAAGACAGGCGAAACGAAGCACCCGCATGGTGCGGTGGTGAAAGCGTTACTCCGGAAAGGACAATAACGCGTTCGTTCCTCACCGCAGACACCTGCGGTCCGGAGTTATGAAAATATCTCAGCATCATTGATGATTACCATACCATTCTCAAGTGCATCACTGACAATCTTAAAGCGAAGAGTCGACAAAATGAACATTTCTGAAGGATGTTACATCGCGACCCATGAATTAGAATGTAACGAGAACTATGAATGGCTGTTTGGCGCCGTTATAGCGACGTTTTATTTATTGCCTTAAGCGTCAACCCAGAGTTCAACAAATCCCACTCTCAATACTGGACGTTTGTGCCTTACAGTGGAGAGTGCCATAGCAAAATAGATCACGTTATGGTAAAATGAAAGCTTTACATAACTGACGTTGCTGTTATCCTCAAATTTCTAATACACGGAGTTGAATCTCTCTCTTCGTTCAAGGTTTCTTTTCTACGAAAAATAAGGTAAGTCACAAATTAAAGGGTAAAGGATCAAGCTCTCGGCGTTGATCAATCCTTGAGGGACGCGCCATGCATTCGACTTCATAAACATCGTTGGAGGTGATTGAATGCATATCTGGCCTTCACAATGACTCGTGGTGGCCTACCGATGTATCGAGCCAATGCTGCTACTCTCCCAGATAAGTCTGGTACCAATTTGCCGAACCCGGAGGGATGGAAGGCTTGATGGGCTATGGGCGCGGGAATCGATTCTACGTGTGTGTTGCAGTGGCGCCTCCACCACTGCGCCACACGTGCCCTTTGCTAGCCACAAATTACAAGAAAGAAAACCACCAGAAACCTGAATTTATTCTGGCCATTAGCTTTATTTTATGAAGATGCCGTTATCGCCAACATCATTGAATAATGCGACGGGAACTGGACATTTTCAGAAAGGAGTTAAAAAATCCCGGAAAGTCGAAGGTCACCGATGGATAATTGTCTCCAGGAATACTCGAACAAGTGCGCCAACGTCAAGCCGTATGAGCTGTTGGTAGTCTCGGACTTATATCCGAACTTGCGAGCCTTACGAAATTGTGATGAAATGGATTATGAAGATAGAATAGTAGCATTGATAGCTGAAGGTGCTTTACATTAGGAGAAGAATTCGAATTCCTACTGAAACTTCGGTCGTTAAAAGATTGAGATAATCGCGCTCCGATTCCTATGCTAAAAAGTCATCGGGGAAAAGGGGGCTTCAGGGAAAAAGTGGGAAAAATGGAAAGCTCCACTCTGATCTTTTCACTAGGCAGCTCTTCTTCTCTGTATGCGAGACTAGAGAGGATGGATATGTGTTCGCTGCAGAAAAAGAACGAAAATCACATTGCTGTCCTCTCTATTTGCCAACAGTTGCACGGGCCCGTGTAGCGTTGCTAGAATTTTCTGCTAGGAAAGGACATTCGTTGCATTGTAAGATGAATAAACGAACTATAAGTCATCAGACACCAAGAATTCTTTCTAGTAAAACATTGCTTGTACTGCAGATGAGCAAACTGATTGTGGAGCTGTTGCACATAAATAGTAGCAGCGACAGAAAGCAGTTTGGATATCATCACCTTTGCTACCGTAACCACTCATGGCAGCAGTTGTTCGTTTTTGTCGTTTTCTTTTCTTTCTTTTATATAATGGTCTACAAATGAACATTTACGGTCACTCAAAACCAGTGATTAACGTGCGGTGAAAGTTGGTAAATGTTAAAATGTCTTCACAGGAAAACATCCGAATTGGGTCACACGTTATATTTATGTTCCTCCTAACGGTTTACCTCCTCAACACGGCTGGAAGCTGTTTCTAGGTGTAGGACTGCCATGTGCAGCTGGGGAATTCACCCTTTCGGCGACGCCTTGCAAGCTGAGGAGTCCAGCGTTTCCGTCAGGAAGTCTGGCTAAGAGTAAACCAATACCAGAATCCACCACAGCCCTTGTGGTGGCAAATCTCCCTCTGATCCACATGTGCTGCGACTGCCTGTGGTGGTGACTACCTGGGGCAGACTTGGCCAGGATGATTTTGGGATTCCAGGGTACCACAATGGCTAAACCAGCAAATCTCCAAAACAATGGAGATTATGCTAGGGCCCAAACAACCTGTGAGGAGGACGGACCATCCAAGTAAGTACCCAAGTAAGTTATATTTATGTTAGAGACCACAAAATTGTGTGTAAAGCAAGCGCTTATGAATTTTTGCAGAATCACCAATTGAATAAGTGGGAGATTTTGTTGGCTTATTCTTGAAAACGCTTATACTCAATTTTCATTTATTCTTTTTTAAGAAGGGGAAAATGCGATAATGATCGAAATTGCTGTACATTGCCAAACATCTGCCGTAATTCTTCGTCGAACCGGCATCATTCAAAACAGATATCGGGATATTCAGGGATGAAAACAACTCTACTGTTCACCGCTGCTACCGCGGTAACATTATGTAACATAACCGACGTCAGTAGTAGAGCAAATGGCTTCTTTTATCGAGCATCAAGATGGGGAGACCGCGAAGGCAGAGCTCACAAGCTTAAGGTAATGATTGCCGTACAATTTTCCACGGCCTGAATAGGAATTCTAGAACGAAAATCGCTTTGAAACCTCCTTTCCTAGATAAAGTTTTCTCGGTCTAGTGCAGTGATAAGCGAAGAAGCCAAGATCGTTCAAGGGCAAACGGAAAGAAATAGGCAACGATATGAAAGTGCCGTTCCCACACTTCTCTCTACCTTTCTCATCGTATAACTATAAAACACCTTTAACAGGTTAACGTGGCAAAATCGAAGGATTACGTTTCAAATCCATGTGGATCGATAGTCGAGATCAATTGTGAGCGAAATATTAAACAAATTCTGTTTCAGAATGACATCATGCCAGCAAAGTAACATAAAACATAAGGAACGGTTCAGTTATGATGCTTCTGTGTAGCTCTGGTGAGCTGCTTCAGAAGTCGGGCCGAAGAAGTCGTCAAAGATGTTCAGAGCGTTAGTCGCACAAAAAGGTATGCGATGAAGGACTATGGAAATAGGACAACGACATGGCCGGGTAACGTCGTCTTCTATACATTCGACACATCAGGTTGGTTTTAAGATAACTTTCTTGCTTCCAATTGGACATTTATCAAGTTCTCTCTGAGTCACCTTAGAATGTCGCCACTTCATGTTTTCGCGGGCATTGAAAAGATTTTGAAAAAGGATCTGGAAAAGGCCTAAAACGTAATTAAAATATCCACGAAAAATAATACATAAGGAAGTGACAAATGTCTAACTCACAGGAATTTCGTATGATTCTAATAAAACGAAACAATGCTGTTAATAAAGGATGAAGGATAAAGCTCTCGGCGTCGATCAATCCCTGAGGGATGCGTCATGCATTCAACTTCGTTAAGCATCGTTTGGAGGTGATTGAATGCATATCTGGCCTTTATAATGACTTGCGGTGGCCTACCGATGTATCGAGCCAGTGCTGTTATTGCTAGCCTCCCAGACGAGTCTGGTATCAATTTGCTGACCCCAAAGGGATGGGCTTGGTTAGCCTGGGCGCTGGGATTGATCCCATGCGTGTGTCGCAAGGCGGCTCTGACCACTGCGTCGTACTCGCCCTATTGTTAATGCGATATTTATTCGGTGGCAATAGACACGTGGTAGAATCCGTTCTTTTCGGAACAATCTGAATCGTTCGCTCTGCAATAAGCCAATTAATTTTAACTGAACAGTGTGTTCATTCATGTATTTAATTTTAAAATTAAAATTCCAGACAGCATCGTCCAAAAAATGTTCAAAATGGACGTAAAGGTATGTACTAACTCCACCTGCATCAATTTTGTGGAAGACAAGAATGGTTCGGCTTTTTTCAAGTTAGAAATGGCACCAATAACCTCTTTAGATCAACCACCTGCAGCTCAGAACAAGGTGGTCGTGGTCAAGGAAGTCGGTTGCTGGTCCGATAATGGACGATCAGGCGGATAACAGTTTCTTTCACTTGGCAATGGTTGCCAGAAGGTGTGATCTTTTAAAATTAAGAAGTCGAACAGAAACGATTTCATTTTTTCTGAAATTTCGGTCCTCTACGGAGCGGTTTAGGAAGGAATAGCTGTGCATGAGATTGGTCACGTGCTTGGGTTACTTCACACAATGACACGTTATGATCGCAACAATTACATTCAAGTCGTCGTGCAAAATGTTGACGTAGGTCGATATAGAAATACTTATGATTAAACTTTCTGGAGAAACTATAGCTACGTATACCCCGTTAACACTGCAGAATTTGGAAAAATTAGCGGGGAACTGACGGAGATCTATGGACTATCGTACGACTACGGCAGTGTGATGCACTATAATGAGCTAAGGTTTGCACCACCGGATTGAAATGTTTATGCCGAGATTAACTTATATCATCCCTAGTTCCTCTATTAATGGTCACTCTACCATGATTGCAATAGATCCGTACCATCAAAAAACGATGGGATCTGAAAGGATTTCTTTCACCGATATCTTTGTAGTCAACGAACGCAATGGATGTAATGGTCTGTTTTGTAGTCGTTTTCCAGGTGAATTCAAAAACCCTAGAAATAATCTAACTACTTAATAAAGTGTAAAAACTCCACGTCTGCAAAGTGCGCGAACGAGGGGTTTCCTCACTCTCGAAACTGTTCCACTTGCATTTGTCCAACCGGTTACAGAGGCACTCTTTGCAAACAAAGGGTAAGAGCGATGTCGCGAAGAGGGCATCAGTCCGCTGTGCAAATCTAACGTGTTCCAGCCACCAATATGTGGAGAGTATCTTGTGGCAAAAAGAGAGAAAAAACACTTCTTTTCAGATTTGGATCTCGGTCCGGTCACAAGGATCACTTCGACTTTTGCAATTACATGATTACGGTACGATTCTGCCAGTCGGTGTTATTGCTGGAGCTAAAATATAACTGCCAAGAGGCGCCCAAGGATACGAAGATCGAGGTGGACCTCCGACCCATCACTCCTGCATACGAATTTCTTGGATGTACAGAAGGAGGAGTCGAGATCAAAGCTCAGAAAAACCAGAAGCTAACGGGTTACCGGTAATAGTCAATACCTAAATTCCCAGCTTTCTGTTTTGTTTTATAAGTTTTCTGTTTCAGTTTTTGCTCGATGAACGGCACCAATAATCCCATAGTTTCCAGCTCCAATCGCTTACCTTTGATCCTGTACAACAAACTTGACATGTTGGAGGGAATTTTCACTTATCATTACATCAACTGACGGTGAAGAAATCTTGATCGTTTGTAGAAACCCTGACTATTTAGTCAATAACGAAGAGTTTGCTAAAAAAATAAAGCTGTGGAAACTATCCTCGAAGGTGAGAAAGAAGCTTAGTAAATTGCTTGTAGAGGTGTCACCAATCTTTTAACGCCTCGTGGCACAGTGACAGCCTCGTGCGCTGTAGTGATTTTCCTTCTTCTCGAAAATGAAAAGAGGAAAATGTGTGCTATAGATAATGCATACATGTATTACTGCTGTGGTAGCTCGGACGACTCACAGCTTACCCAAGCGAGGTGCTGATTCATCTTTTGGTGTGAATCATGACATTATTTGGCACAAGCGTTAGTGGTGATGGAAATTTCGGAAGGATATCGTGCTGGTGACAAACCTCCAGCGATTCGACTAAGATTCCAGGCGAGTTAAAGCTATCTGACATCACTTTCACAACTTTTAATGTACATGTCCAGGTGATCTATTAGGATTTTTTTGCTAGGGGAGCTTGTCAGACGGTTTTCGTTTTTCGTGGGAGGGACGGAGTTCATAACCGGTGAGGCGACAGCTCATTCCCGGAACTTAGTGCGTACCCGATGCACGCGAAGAATGCGGGAATCTTAGATAAAAGCACCTAACCGGAAATAGATAGAGCAAAATCTCTTCTATGAGCGTTTGCTAGCTTCGAGTTATTGATGTAAAAATCTTGAAAGAGACATTTTAGCACATCGTTGTTGAAGACCCTTCGGAATGAGAGCAATTCGTACTTTTCTAAGTTTCCTCTAAAGAAACTCAGACAATGAATATCGTCTGTATGAAATGTCTTTGTTCATTCGCCTTACTCACCAGACTTCTCGCCAACGGATTTTCATTTTTTAAGCATCTGGACCACTTTATGGTGGGAGAAATCTTCAGCGACCAAACAAGAGTTGAAAATGCCTTTAGATAATTCATCGATACTGGAATCGACAATTTTTATATTAATGGAGTAACAGAACTTGTTTCTTGTTAGAAACAATGTGCTGATTCAAACAGTGCTTGTTTCGATCAATAAAAATTAATGTGAAAAATTTAAGGTTGTTTAAAGTTTGCATTTGCATCTAAAATCGAACATTTCATATGTTACAACCTAATATAACGTTGAGTGATGTTTCACCCATCCTTCGACAGTTCGGCCTTTAGAACGGCGTCTTTTAGTTTTGATCGTTGACGCAGGTCCGAGCTTCGGATCCCTTTCCTCGCTTGCGTGATACGGAAATACTAGAATTGTGATTTCGACTGCTCGCTCAATAATGCTGCTATCTCTATCGATCTCTATAAGTTCATGTAACAGCCAACCCACTTCCCAGGTGCTAACGTTTGGCTGTCTTGCAAGAGCAGGTGTTTACATTTAAACACTATGAATAAAACTAAATATGCTAAATCATAGAAGAAATGGAGTATACTTAGCACTGCCTAGTTTTCGCAAGGTACGTTTGCCGCCTCTCACAAAGAATTCTCCCGTTGTGAACAAGTAGTCGCCCCATTTTCGCGCACACTAACTAAAAGTAAATCGCAGAAATGGACAGGATATACGCATGCAAATAGAATGGTTCTATCAACACAAACTGCTTGTTACGAAACTTTTAGTTTTAGGGTCCTATATTCTTGTTAGGAAGTACTATACGGAAAAAGTAAAACAAACCATGCAGGAGAGATGTTACTTACATTGGTATAAATGAAGTAGGAGATCGACCGGAAGCTACTGACGGCCCAAAATGTTTTTGATATACAGTGGACCTCAAAACCACCTGGAAGCAGTCACTTCGGGATTTGTCGCCTATTTTGGGAGGTGGGAGGTGGACGAGGCACAGTAAATGGCTCTAAGGGCATTTAATATTAAAAAAATGGACAGAACATCTGAATTATTGTGCATGTTCAATTGCAAAGTTTACGAACTTCTTAGTATCTGTCAGAGAGCACTTACCTATAAAGATTTGCTGGAAGTGCAGGAGACGTGTCCTCCAGCGATGACATATTGACCTCAGAAACGATAAGAACCTACTCCTTGCAACATGATCTCAGTATCTGTTACTCCCTGGAAAGGACAATAGCGCGCTCGTTCCCACCGCAGACATCTGCGGTCCAGAGTCTTGCAAATGTCTCAGCATCGTTGTGACCGCTGAATATTTGCTTTTCTATAATGATGACAACATTTTGCCACAAAAGCTTTTTATAGGTGATTTTTTCTTTCGGTTTACTCCACAAATTTTTAGCAAAGTACACACAAATTCTAGCCTTCACTATTGTTGAGCATTGCTAAGACTAGACTATAGTCCGGCGTTTCTATCAGGAAGCCTATCTAAGAGTAAACCAATACAAGGATTCACCACTGTCCTGGTACCAAAGTAGCATGGTGGCAAATCTTTCTCTGATCCACAAGGGTTGCTACTGCCTGTGGTGGTGGAGACCTGGGGCAAACTTTGACCAGGCTGACCTCGGGATTCCACGGAACCACAATAGCTTAACAAGCAAATCTCCGAGAAATGGTGATTGTGCTGGGGCTCCCCCAACCAGTGAGGACGGGCCGTTCAAGTAGCAAGTAAGTAAGACTGTATTAATCGCCATGCAGTTATGCAAATTCTGATCTAAAGCTAAAAATTTCGTAACAAACACTTAGGTGTTGATAGGACTATTCTATTTGCACGCATAGACCCTGCTCATTTTTAGGTATCATTTTTAGTTGATGTGTTGCGAAAACGGGACGCATACACATTCGTTACGGAAGAATTCTGTGTGAGAAGCAGCGATCGTAACTTAAGAAAACTAGTCAGTGTTGCGCATGTTGCATGTTTTTCTCTGATTTAACAGAGCTACTTTTACGAGTAGAGTTTAATTGTGCACATCTGTTCTTCCACGACAACGAAAGGTTAACATGTGGATAGTGCGGATAGTATTGGGTTAGCTGTTACGTGAATTTGACAAAATATGATGATTCCAAACTTGCTATAAGACATCCAAGGTGGGTCCATACCAGGTGTAGTAATGTAAGAAAATTTTTTCGGACCGTTTTGACATTGGTCAATATAGTTATGCAAATTTTGATATTTGCATTGCTGACTATTGTTAACATTATATTATGTAACCTCCCAACGGTTTACTACCTCATCATGCTTGGGAGATGTTTCTGAGCGTCGGGCTGCGATGTACAGCGCGAGATTCATCACGCAGCAGGGCCTCCCAAGCTGAGAAGAACTCCGGCGTTTCCATCAGGAAACCCAACTAATAGTGAAACAATTTCGAGATCCACCACCGTCCTGGTATCAAACTAGTCGCTTGGTAGCAAATATTCCTCTGATCCACAAGGGCGGCGACTGTCTGTGGTGGCAAAGACCTGGAACAGACTTTGGCAAGGATGACCTCGAGAATCCAAAGAACCACAATGGTTTAGCCAGCAAATCCCGAAAGTTGGAGATTATGCTGGAGTCCGCACAATCAGTGAAGACGGGCCATTCAAGTATTAAGTATTAGATAACAAATAGATACGCTCTTTGCATTACAATGCTTGGAAATGGGAACATTAAGAAATAGTGGTTTCTGTCACTCATGTTAAATACCAAATACGGCGAAGTACACTACACTTGCGGTATGGCGTTGCAGAGGAATATTTATGACACAGGCAAACGGATAAGGTGAATGTAAACAAGCGAAGATAAGAAAAGCACGAGCTCATTTATAGTTTATCGCTCATCCGAACAAGCAAGTGGATATGGACAAGCAGCTTTCAAACGAGGTCGGGTACCATGGAGTGCTTCCTCCAAAAGACATTAAGGTGCCTACTACTTTTTTTATGAGACGTGTGTAGTGGTGAGAAGTTCTCTTCAATATAAAAGTGGTCTTTAGTTCGACTCCATTCCTCGTGTACACCAAGTCCTTCTTACCTCCCTAATTAATAAATTCGTAACTGACTTGTGTGCGAGAGTAAAAAACCCAGACTTGGTACATTGGTACGGAATTGAAAATCGTTGCATGGAATAAGTATGCACCCAGTCACGCTTGATAAAGTCGAATGCGTGGTGCACCAATCAGGGATTGATCAACGGTGTGTGCTCCATCGCTTCATCACTTTTATACACAATGGGGAAAATCTACTGTCAGTAGCTGAAGAACACGTTCGGCGAATGTTTTCAGATGATGTTACGCACAAATGGAGACTTTCTTGTACGAACTACCGAGCCCGTAGCAGGCAAACCACGAGCACTTGTTTTATCCGTTATGGTCAGGCATAAACTTGAAGATCAAGGAGTAGGTTGATGTTCAATTTTGCTACAAATGGTATCGTAGATTGTGGAAGTCATTGAAGTAGACGACAAATTAGGAAGTCCTTCGCTGCTGCTTTTCATTTTGAAGTGCACCTATAAGCATTATGAAAGGAAGGATGAATAAAACCCAGTGAACTCTAAATTTTGGCACTCTACATTCGGCGATGTGCGTAGCCATGCCAGAAGTTAAGTTTTGAAGGTTTTTGAGATAAACGTAGAGCGATTAGCACCATTATTGTGAAGCACTGGAAACGTTATATGGGGGAATTAAGGCAAGAATGAAGAATGCCAGCCAGTTACTCAAAACCTTTCTGTGTTAGATGCAGCACTCAGTTAAACGAGCATAATTGTAGCCACTGGTAATTTGCACATTGGAATAAAACGATTTCTGTTATGAAGTTCAACAGCCTTCCAAAGCAAAAGGCTTAAACTTTAACTAAAGGAAGAGGGCTTCTGCAGTTCTGCAAGTAGGCGTCATGACGTAATAGCTAGAACTGCTCTAACCGCAGATTTTTATTACGGTTCTCTCCGTTATACCTAAAGAGATTCGACTCCGAAATGTCAGCGGTGAACTGAATAACAACATAAATAGGTGATTAGTCATTATCCCTTAAACTGGTGCGATTTCGCCATGATTTAGCCCTTCTCATCCAGGGTAGCCATTGTGTGACTAAAATTGATACTGAGAACACCTAAAGTAATAACAGAAATCGCAATAATTACAGATTAAACACTTCGTCATAACAGTTCTCCTAACTGGTAAAGTTATGGTTGAGAAATACGCATTCGAATCCGTCAGAGCCATGATTGAATACCATCTTAGTAAAAAGGATTCTACAACGAAGGTGTGTTGTTAAAACCTACAATCCATGAAGATTTAGTTTTTAAGACTCCTTCTCGTTTTTTCCATGTAATGAAGAGATTTGGAAAATCGTTTATCACAGGCGAACTAACTCCGATTAATAATGCGATTCTCGTTGGTCAGCAATGTTTCGGTCCGCTGATCGCACAACGCTTCCTCTAGTATAGAAAGTGCGGGACTTCGATTTGCAGAACTAGTTTAATACGTTTTGTTATCCTTTATGAAGTGATGCTACAGCCATTTTAACCGATTGTAATAAAGGCTATTTCGGGTTTGTAGGTCATCTAAGCCGTAACCACCGAGACCAGCTTCGTTTTCCTGGTCTATGTAGCATTATGTGTGCGGATGCTGTCGTGTTGCACGACATTTCTGTTCGATGTGCTACTGAATGAGTCCAGGACGTTAGCTAATATGCTCAGCTAGGCGTGGCCATAGTGCCCACGCGGTAAAAACTCCGTGTGTTTAACTCAGGACATTGACTTCAACTCCGAGATCATAACCTTATCAACAGAATTCGGTTTGAAGACGACCATCAGAGTATACAACGGGGACGAACGGATAAAATTACGGCTTCTAGTGGCACCCAATGACGGTTCCCAATGGTGCAGCCTGAGTTCCTTTTCATTAACTGATAATAGCGCGCGCATGGTGCTTTTTTTTCGACAAAGAAAAGGTAGTAAATATCTAACCTTCGCATTAGCCAACCGAATTCAGTAGACGATACAGACATAGGATTTCCCGTGGTGGCCATTATCACTGCTTAGTTGAGTAACATCGAAACTCAACTCAGCCTGAGATCAAAAGCAGGGATGGATAGTATGTGAGGATGTCGTTCATGCTGCTAAACTGGTAAACCACTTACTCTTCATCGTTTAAGAGACGGCATTCTGCCGAACTACACTTCAGTGGCGTGATGGGGGCACCAGTAGTGTTTCATAAACTTCGACATCAGAGGTTAAGGCTAGTAACACTGCTTCATTGCAAAACCTAAAGTTAAGCGTTTGACGGTAGTGGGCAAAGAACAAAATCTAAAAATGTAAAGTTTTAGAATTTTAAAATACTGTAAATGAAGTCCTTTTCCGGTTGCACATATACGTATAAGTAATCCGTTGTTGACCGGTTCAAATTCTATATTTTAGTCTCAAGAGGTGATCCTACGCAACCCGATTGTTCGTCAAAGTTGGGAGCTATCTCACAGCGATGTGGAACTAACGACGGAACTGGGTGAGCATTCTTCCTTAGGAAGTGAACTGTATAGAAGAACGGTGGACTGGAATGAGAATGTATAGATGATTTCTGAAATGCAATGTCGCGTAAGAGATGTCCTCTTGTGCTATTCCTTTTTCATTGCGGTAATGACACAGTACAATAGGGATAGTTTCCATGGTATAAACGGTGCTCCAAATATAAAAAGAAGCTGTGCATAATTATTGTGCTAAATTTTAGGAGAAGGTGCTGTTGGTGAAGTGCACGCGAGGAAATTAAAATTGAGGAATGGATTTAAGGTTCCAGTTGCTGTGAAACTTGTGCGTAATTTGCCGTACACTTTCCCCCTTGAGAAAAGCAAAGTTTCGTATTGGTGTAATGTCAACGCTGTCGTAGGCGAAACTGGAAATGCTAACAAAGGAACAAATTAAAGAAATCATGCATGAAGCACGCCTTATGAGGAATCTCGATCATCCGAATGTAGTTAAATTCTATGGCGTCGCTGCAGGACAAGAACCTCTTATGGTGATTATGGAACTGGTAGGCTCACAAGTCTGGTGCTTAATAATTCAAAAAACTTCTATAACATCTTATTTTTATCTGGCTGGTACGATTCCGACCCTTGGCAGTACTTTTGTGTTGTTCATAGTTGGCAGTAAATCCACCATCGAACTATGGTAGACATTTGGCGATATTTTTATTTTGCACTGGTTTTCACAGATTTTAAGGTGAACTGCGGTGCGTTAGACTCATACCTTCAAAAAAATAAACAACCCATGGATAAGAAAAACGAAATGTGCTTGCAAGTAAGAGTTACAGACCCGAAGTCATTAAGGTTGGCATAGTGTGAGAAATACTTTAGGCAGCTTGGGGATTGGAATACTTACATGCCTAAAATGTTCTTCACAGAGATATTACTGCAAGGAACTGCTTATATGGACCCAAAAAGATAGAATTTTGCTTTATTATACTTACCAAACGGATAAACTTACAGGCAACAGCACAAAAATCGGGCGTGTGTTACTTCTTCGTGAACCACCAGTATATAATATTTCAGGTAAAAATCTCGGACTTTGGTCTTACCCGAGTAGGAACTGTGTACCAGATGGATCCCCATAAAAGAGTTCCGATTAGGTGGCCTGCTCCAGAAACATTAAGGATGGCTATTTATACACAGAAGACAGACGTGTTCAGCTACGGTGAAATATACACCACGGTTCCCACGTTTCGTTACGCTCATCTGTCATGTGCATTTTCAGGTATAATGTGCTGGAAGATATACAACAATGGGATAGAACCATATCTAGGAATGACAGTGGCAGAAGTTTATCAAAATGTAGGACCTTGCTAATTTTCTAATCATAGGTGATCCACGCCTTCAGATTGGATTAATTTGGCATATTAACCACATGTTTTTATTCACATTCTACACTATATTCGACATTACGAATGCAACAAAATTGTGCTTCCACACGGTTCAACAAGGATGGCATTGCAAACACTAAAATTTGTAAACTGAAAAGAAGATGGGCGTATAGCAAAGTGGTAGTGATGTCCGTCATCACGAACATGGTGCTAGTTCGATTCCGCTCCAGTTCAACCAAGCATCTCATCACAGTTCAACCAAGCATCTCATCACTCCGGGGTCGAAAAATTGGTACCAGACTTGTCTGGGTAAAAAGTCACTCTCTGCAATCCAATTGGGAGCTCTCCAGCCTGGCTATCTGAGGACTCTAGGGGGAATTGCTCTACTAGCATTTCACGACATTCAAGATGAAAGGGAAAATCCTCAAGCAGCAACGGAAGCCACACGTAAAAGTTGGAAGATTAGGTGTACAATGGATGCGAGGAAACGAATTAAATATGTGAAGTGCTGAGATCCCCACAGTAGGCGTGAAGACTGGTCAAATGAAATATAAATAAATAAATAAATAGATCAGAAAAATCTTTAGGGCTCAAATTCATTCTTATAATACGTTTTCAAAATTTTGGTTGTTTCTGATAGTTCATATCTCGTGAATTCAGTGTTCTTCAAATGTAAGTATAAGTCTAAATCAAGACAATTTTCAAGCCGTGTTGTCATTGCGTACACGACGTAGATTGTTAAAGCCGGGGTTGATCCACATCTTTTCAACCGTAAAAGTCTGATTCCGGATGTTAATTGTTCCAAAGAATCGGTGTTCATGGCAAAACTAGTGTTGACGAGAAGGCAAACACCCCTAACTCCTCTATATCATATGCTTGGGGAACAGTTTTTCCCCAATGTCATAGACGGCGTTGAATGCGCGTCGTCTTCTTGTCTCAACCAGTCCGATGACGCCGTACCCTATCCTTTTTTTCTTGCATAATTAAATCGTCCACCGAGGACTCAGGTGCAGGTGAGGGCGCATTGTAGGTAAAGATGGTTACCGTGGTCCTCCGAGGTTAAAACAGCCTAAAGTGGCATTAAGATTTTACTGGCATCTCCGTACTTGTCCTAGCTAACGCTGCCATATCAAAAGCACATTAGAGGTTAAGAGAATGTGGTTCATTTATCCTATTGTTTGGCTTTTGATACCCACGCATAGGTTGCTGAGCTCGAAACGCGAATGCTGGGCATACTCACGCTTAGTTTGCTTTTTTCTCCCAGAGCAGATCTCTCATGTATTCTTTCCCTGTCACTTCATAGCAGACTTTGGCCTCATTAACTCGTAGAATATAATCCGCATAAACGAGAACCCCATGTACGCTTGCAGGAATACATCTTCGTGAGCAAAAAAGGCATGGACTAAACCGACGCAGTAGAATCAGGGAGTCGATGCTCTGGATACACCAGCGTCTCAGTGAAGAATATGGGCGCTTTTGATTCACGATTAACCCGTTATCCGTCACCTGGGGATGGGCTGAGTAGAGTTACGACCATCCGGTACGAGATGCCGCTGAGGGAGATTCGTGGATGCCTTTCTGTTGATAGGAAATTGCGTAGCACAATGAGGTTAGGAGGGAATGGGTTAGCGCAGTGCCTAGTGATACAGTTCATCGGCAAGCAGTGTGTTGCCTCGATCACCTCCTTGGCACTCTACTCCATCCGACCTATGAAGGCATCAGCTCTGGTATATTCAAAATAGCAAGAGGAATCGACTCGACCAGCATTCTACGAGATTCACGAAGACGATCAGAAGTCCTCAGGTGCCAACAGAAAACATGTGAAATGTTCGAACACCTTTATGAACGGGAAAAACGAAGAAAGGAAATCGAATGCGAGAAGTGCTGGAATTTTCACAGTAGATGTAAAGACTTTTGCAAAGTAGAACATATGAGGTAAGGAGACATGCTTGCGTTGCATGGGGTGAGGGGGGTTTCGACTCCTATGCAAGTAACTTTTGATCACTTACCTATTCTTGACTGTGGTAACACAGGAGCAGGTTATTGATATATTGCTTTCTAAGCCATTCCATCCATTTGTCAACTCAGTATTTTATATCACAGGTCAAACAAGGCTACCGTATGGAACTATCGCCAAATGTCCACCCAGATATTCAAATATACATCAGGGTTTCATTTCGCTGTCATGTATTTTATCATTATCTCCAGCAGTAAATAAAGTTAATACATGCACAATAGAATCTCGTCATCAGGAGTTGACGTGGAGTCGCGAGCAAGACACGCCCCGGGGGTCAAAATATCATTTTGAAATAGGGCGCCAGGTCACGCGTGATAGTGAGGCATTCGTCCTTCCGGTTCATCTTTGGTTTTTTGAAATTTATCCTTGCCTTGCCATCGCTTTCATGTCTAAGGTGGAAGCTCCAGTACTCGATCACCAACTCTTACTCTACTGTCGATACATAGACGACTGCTTCATCGTCTGTTCCACACAAGAACAGATGGATGAGTGCTTTGAATTATTAAACCGACAGTCAGAGTATATAAAATTTACACGAGAAAAACCTACCGAGAACTGGCTTTCATTCCTAAACATCCAAATAAAGCTCTCAGTAAGTGGCTATGTAACAAGATGTTATCGCAAGCCAAGTAGTAAAAACATTCTAGTTCACTGCCTCTCCTCTCATCCTTCACACATGAAGAAAGCACTTATCAAAAATATGTATCGTACGGCTAAAAATGTGTGCACAGGAGAAGAGGAAAGGAAGGAATCGCGAAGCCTGGCACGAAAAATTGCCATTTCCAATGGCTACGAAGTAGGAGCCACTCGGGTTAGAGGGAAACGTTAGGTAGTTTCCCAAAATAATATTTCAGACGAAAGTAGGATCCCCTTTAAGCTGCCCTTCATATCAAACGAAGTAAGTCACGCCATTAAAAAGTGCTTAGGAAAAAGTGGTCTTGAAAATTATGTAACGATTATTGACATCCCACCCAATACCCTACGCCGCCAGTTAGTTCGAAACCGTCTCTATAATCGTTTGTGCAGCTCAGAAAACTGTATGATCTGTCCTAACGGGAGAGACGGGGATTGCATGAGTTTAGGTATAATATACTTGATCTCATGTAATGCATGCGGCGAGGAATATATCGGGGAAACGGGTAGACCACTTTGTGTCCGCATAAAAGAACATCTAGATGGAAAAGCTAAAATCCGTTTAAACACCCCTCTAGGTACGCATAGGGCACAAAAGCACAACGGCGATGATTTTGAAGTGAATTTGCGGATCCTAGCGCAGGAATCGAAAACATCAAAGCGCAAAACTCTTGAGGCGTTTTGGATAAATTTCAAAAATCCAAANAAAGCACTTATCAAAAATATGTATCGTACGGCTAAAAATGTGTGCACAGGAGAAGAGGAAAGGAAGGAATCGCGAAGCCTAGCACGAAAAATTGCTATTTCCAATGGCTACGAAGCAGAAGCCACTCGGGTTAGAGAAAAACGTTGGGTAGTTTCCCAAAATAATATTTCAGACGAAAGTAGGATCCCCTTTAAGCTGCCCTTCATATCAAACGAAGTAAGTCACGCCATTAAAAAGTGCTTAGGAAAAAGTGGTCTTGAAAATTATGTAACGATTATTGACATCCCACCCAATACCCTACGCCGCCAGTTAGTTCGAAACCGTCTCTATAATCGTTTGTGCAGCTCAGAAAACTGTATGATCTGTCCTAACGGGAGAGACGGGGATTGCATGAGTTTAGGTATAATATACTTGATCTCATGTAATGCATGCGGCGAGGAATATATCGGGGAAACGGGTAGACCACTTTGTGTCCGCATAAAAGAACATCTAGATGGAAAAGCTAAAATCCGTTTAAACACCCCTCTAGGTACGCATAGGGCACAAAAGCACAACGGCGATGATTTTGAAGTGAATTTGCGGATCCTAGCGCAGGAATCGAAAACATCAAAGCGCAAAACTCTTGAGGCGTTTTGGATAAATTTCAAAAATCCAAAGATGAACCGGAAGGACGAATGCCTCACTATCACGCGTGACCTGGCGCCCTATTTCAAAATGATATTTTGACCCCGGAGCGTGTCTTGCTCGTGACTCCACGTGAACTACGTGTGGAACAGTCCCGCACGTAACATCACGGTGAGTGGCCTTTCTATTCAATATGGCGTCTATTTGAAAGTTTGATCTTCATTAACACTTTAACCTTCTTTTCCACCGAATAATAAAAAGTATTCTAACATAAAATACGTCCAGGCTCTGAGGAAGGCGAAGTCGCCGAAACGTCAGCCATCGATCAATAACATCAAAAACAACGACAACGACAACGAAGACCTGTACCAACCTCGCGTCAGCTTAAGAACATCAGTTTATAAGATCACATAAATATAGAAGTTCGACGTTATCATTTCCTCTAAAGAGCACTTCTACTCGTCTGCGAAAGTTCACAATGCGTGCCTATGTGGTTACGGTAAAATATGTCTCTGAATTTCCTTTCCCAGTGCATTTGAAAACACTGTTTTCTCTCCTGTTTTTTCAGGCTTAGTAAGGCTACCACTCTCAGGCACACCCTGCCTTGTTACAGGTCCGCTGTTGCTCGGAAAATCCAAATGATCGCTACACAATGGCGGAGCTGCAAAGCTTTTGCAAAAAACGCTACAAACTCCGAGGCCGAGGTTCATGGAGAATCCACGCAATCGCATGTAATATCGAATTAAAGGTATATATATGTAGTAATTTGTTAAATATTCATTATAAGAGAAGAATGGAAGTAACGCTACACAACTTAGCTCTTGCTCGCCACTGAGTTCAGTCAAAAACTGGTCACCTTCGAGCAGTACTTCCGGTAATAAAATGCTAGTGAACACCTTTGCGGTAGCGGAGAATACCAAAGTGCTGGAACGATGAATTTCTTTGAAGACATTGTCAGCAGCAGTTTAATTTTCGGACGTTTTTTCAGCAAGAAGATGTTGAATGT